ATGAGAATTACACATAACAGAGACAAAAAGTCCACGCGGTACAATATATCGAGTACAGTGTTGAGGAATGTATCTAATTACAAAGATCTTTGAGTTATTATGTCTAGTGATCTATTGAACAAATAGTTCACAAAGCAAATAAGTTTCTTGGCTTACTTAAACGCACAGTAGGCGGTAAAAACAAAGATATTTTTTCAAACTTGTACAAAACCTTGGTTCGTCCAATCTTGGAATACGCCTGCCCGGTGTGGTCACCACACCTCATGAAAGAGATCGATGAAATTGAGAAGATACAAAGAAGAGCCTCGTGAATTGCCTTAGGCCAAAGAAGACAAGAGATGGCGTACACGGAGAGGTGTAAAATTCTTAAATGGAACTCTTTAGTACAATGGAGAGATTTCCTTTTCTTAGTGGAATGTTATAAAACTATATTCAATCTAAATGGATTGAATTTCAGCGAATATTTTGAACTTTGTAAAAACATTAAATCGAGATCTAACCACCCATGTAAACTACAACTCAAACTCGCAAGACTGAACTGTTAAAAAATTCTTTTTTTGTCAGAATTATCAAACCCTGGAATAATCTTCCTATTAATTTATTTAATTTTTGTGACAACCCTAACGTTCGTGAGTTTAAATCAAAATTGAAGAAACACATGAATATTTATTGAATCGTCAGTTAATTGATATTTAGCTGTTTCTTATTTGACATTTTTTTTATTTATTATTTACTATTTATTTTTTTATATTTATTATTTTTTATTTTTTATCGACTAGTTCTGTAAGATTTTTTACATAAATAGGAGACCCTTGATATAGGGCTAACCTCTGGGTTTCCTTTTTCCTAATAATGATGTATTTACATGTTGTTCTGAAATAAAGTATTGTAGTAAACATGCGGGTTGGCTAAGTCAATGGCCGAAAAATATTCTCACCCTTCGTCTCCTCCTGCGTCCGCATCGATATCTGACAAATCTGATACGACATGTTCGCCTTCTTCTATATCGTCGACGTCGCCTTCTCCAGCGAGAACCCCGTTTTTCTCGTGATATCACTTTTTCTCCAACAACTTTAAGCAGGCATTCATATTTTAGTCTGTTCGTCAACGCCGCACAATTGCCAATCGCATACGACGTTTCACACTGTAGGATGCGTAGATTAAGTATGAAAACGAGGATCACAATTACGAAGTAATTAATCTCACTTCGCCCACATGCAAAACCTAAACAGAAACAGTAAAAGATGGTGATTTTTGCCAGATAGCTACTACCAATGATCTGAAACCACGAGTCGACTAGATTTACCGATGACAAAAATCGCTGCATCATCATATTTTTAGTAGCTAATTCTACAAAATAATTTTGCCTTAGTTACATGTTGAAATTTAGGATTATTCTCGGATAAACCCTTAATAAATTTGCTCTTTATTCTCGCAAGTTGGTTCCATGGTAAGTAATCTCACGAGAAACAGAACTCTACCATTCTCACACAACGAGACGATAACCAATATGTCATCACACCAATTAAAAGACGAAGAGCTAGAACTCCTGAAAAATGGCCTTGGGTTCAGCATTAAACCACTGCGACTCAACTCAACCGACATTCTGGCAACATTCGAAAAAATCTACCAAACTATAAAACACAACATTCGCAATCAAAATTTGGAAAATTTATGACCAGACGGACGGTTTTGCGATGGGCTCTCCCTTAGCACCCATACTTGCTAACATTTTCATGGGCTCACATGAACGAAATTAATTACAACGACAATTACAATTATAACGACACTAAACCACTATTTTACGGCAGATACGTTGACGATATTTTTTGTGTTTTTACTAGCGAAACCATGCAGTTTTATAATTACATTAACACACAGCACACAAACACTAGATTTTCATTTGAAACTGAACAACAAGATTAGCTGCCATTCTTTGACATTTTACGAACAAAATCCCATGACAGCTGTACAACATCTACATATCACAAACCAACATACACAGGACTTCTGATGAACTATTTTAGTTTCACACCACTTTCATACAAAACCGGACTTATACGCACGGTAATCGACAGAGCATACAAACTTAACAATACGAACAACGGCTTTCAACGAGACGTAAAAAACATCACATCCACTCTTTTACGAAACTCTTTCCCACTACACTTTCATAACAGAACCGTAAAACGATATCTCGACAACAAACAAAGCAACAAACTCAAACTAGGCACCGAAACTCCTGACACGACGATCACGACCAACACAAATGAAAATTCCAAAATAACAATTCTATATTTCGAATTACCATACATCGGACATTACTCACGACACACACAGCGCGTACTTACAAACATTATGAAACGCTTCTGTACAGATATTGACATTCGACTAATTTTCACATCATTCAAAATCAAAAACCTTTTCTCATTCAAAGACCCAATCCCTGATTCAATTAAATCAATGGTGATATATGAATTTAATTGCGCGCGATGTTATTCTCGATACACTGGCGAAACTTCGCACCTTTTTTTCCACCAGAATGAGGGAACACACCACAACAGACAAAAACTCTCATATCTACCGAAATCTTCTTAAATCTCACTCATGTAAAACCATCTATTCACCCTCTTGCTTCAAAATCATCGACACTGCCGACACCTCATTCTCCCTTAAAATCAAAGAAGCACTCCACATTAAAAAAACTAACCCTGACCTTAATGTTCTAGTTTTTAAATTCAACACAATATTTAGTTTATAACGCGCTCCGACGCTCCCCATTACTTTATCTTATTTCCTTATTATTGTTGTAATTTATGTATGATATTACTTTTATATAAACCTAGTATTAATTATCATTTTACTTATACTGAAAATGGCATCATGAGATGTCGAAACATGTCTGTTTTAAAAAAACTCGTATATATTAAATGCTCATTAGCAATGGTGCTTCTACGAAATTATCTTAAAAACAAACCTTTACTGCATCTTGCAGTGATGTGATATGACGTTGTGAAATGAGTGTAGATCTTAATTCAATTCTAACTGAACACTAGTCATCCTTTCATAATTGTTCATCATTTGCCATGGGCTATAATCTAAATTTAATCTTAATATGTTATATTGGCTTGAATACATAATTAATATATAACAAAGTAAACATTTACCACTTGAACTCATGCGGTTATTGCACAAGATGACAACTCTCATGACAACATTTTACTTTAATTGATCTGCAGGATCAATAAAATTCTTTTCATGGAAACACAAACATGCTCACATAAATGCTATTGTCATTAATTGCACAATCAGTAAAAGACTTTGCTTACGTTGAAATCCGAACTTTTCACGTGTGAACAAAAACAAATTAAACTGACAATGGAATTTAATGCATCCAATTTCGTTTCGACTTCACACAAGGCTCTTCAAAGTCAGACTTTCAAAGTTTGTGATTTCCTGTCATTTAAAATCAATTTTCATGTTAAATAGTGTATGATTGTTGTAGACAACATATGACAAAAAGTTTTCAACACATGTTATTTACAGGCTGGCAGGTCCGTACTGAAAAAATATTTTTCAAGTAAGGACCTAAACGGTAAATAACTTTTTTAATGAGACTGAAATTGGATTGTTTTCTACAAAGTTCACTTCGTCTGGATAGTAAAGTTCATAGTTCATTCTCGCAACGATAACAACCATCTAAATACATTTTGCTTTCCCCATGAAAACCCATTGTAAAAACCACGTGTTGCTACAACCAATCAAGTTGCAAGAAATAGCATTAGAAATGTGAAGATAAAAAGTTATCAACCAAATTGAAACAGTTCGATGTTAATCATCTAACGAAGACATGCAGCTACTCGAGCATTTTCACCCAGATTTTCACAATATTGGGACGAAAGTTTCGATCATTTTACTTGAAGTTTGGACTCTTTTCAATCTCTCAAAATTACTTCATATCCCACTTAATCCAAGTTAACAGGATAAAGGGGCGTAACTATAGGACAAAATAACCGGTAAATCACGATCAAGCCGGTACAGCGAAAAAAAATTTGGCAAGAAGTGTTCACTGTCAATAAAAATTCTCCTACAAACGGCTTGTGTCTTGTTGTGAAATGATGACGTCTGTTGATTATGTGTTTCCAGCGCATGTGGTGAAGTTTGGCTGATATGCCAAACTAAACAAAGGCAAAAGACGTGCAGCATATATGAGAGCTTGTTTTGCAATGTGATGGTTATATATACTTTATGTAAATATTTCCTGGTTAAAAATGACTAGTAAACAACTAGCGGTAGGCATATTCAATTGTATAGATCTTCAGGCCATGATATTCTTTTTTCAGATCAAAGAAAAACCGTCATTTTTAAAAAGTGAAGGACTTCATGTCTTTCAACTGCTTGTGAAGCAAAATTTGGCTTTTAAGTGATAGTTAACAAAAGAGAACTTAAAAAAAAAACACAGCAATCTTCTAAGGGGCTGTTCTCATGAGCGTGGTAGCCGTGACTCAGCACAGCATTAAATCATTTTGGCAAATGCAAAAGATAAAATACTTCACAACAAACATTTTCTTTATGCAAGTTCCCTATGCTCTGACTTTTCAAATTCATACTGAAACCTTTAAAATAAAAACAAATAATTTAGCCTGATTTGAAAATTACGACTTAAATGACTTATGACGCTTAAAGTCCTGTTTAATAAAACTATAAATCGAAAAGAAAAATTTTTACTTTATGTGGAATTTTAAGTTTTGACTTATGCATGTTTCATGTCAAAACTGAACTTTTGAAACGTCAATAAACACATTTTATCGAAATTCACACATGCACCCAATGCTATGGTTAAAAACACACTTAAATTTTTATCGATTTTTCTTGACTTTTATTTCTGATCATCGAATTTTAGTTTCGACTGTTAGGGACTTTGCTCATCCGTATTTTTGAAACGCCTTAGCTAATTTCAACAAGACATAGCTGCAGCTACAAAAAGTGACAATCTCATCTTCATTTTGCGATAGAACACAGTTATATTGTCTTCTATATAATAATTTAATATCACTAAAAACCATCAGCACGATAAATAAATAAAAAAACAGAATTCAATCTATGCTGGTTAAAGCATAAAACGCGTTCCTATATTTCCACGTGGCCTCTAAAGTTTGATATAGATAAAGAAATTTGCATATTGGCGAAATCTCATGGTACTGTTTTCTCTATATATACACATATCTCGGGTCTGCGAATTCTGTTTGCAAGAACTTAGTGTTTTTTATACTTCTTTGGCCCATTTTTTAGTACTTCGTGGCTCTTCGTGCTAGTTTTTAGGAAAATGGCTAGCAAAAATTCCGTACAAGCTGGTCGTCGTGTTCTTCATCGATCCGACGTCCCATTGTCATCACGTAAAAATGTATTTGTTGTGTGACGATATAGAGTCCAACGGCCATCGTATTCTTCACACTACTTCAGTAGCTATAATTCTAGGAAATACAAAAATATCGCACTTTTAGTTTAGAACATATTAATGACTGTATTAATGACAAGGACTCAAGGAAGAAAGAACATTCTTAAACTTGTTATACAAACATTTGTACGAGCAAAAAATAAATGATTTGAATCCTCTTAAAATGCATAAGTGTATATGTTATGTACGGGCTGGGATGTCTGTACTGAAAAATATTTTCGCAAAGTCTCAACAGCGACCAGATGCTAATGGCCGTGGGACGCTTCTGAGACCAAAGAAAATGTTTTTTTTTAGCTAATAAGGACCACCCAAAACGGTAAATAACGTTTTTATTTTTCTTTATTCTTATGAAGCAATTCACGTTGTATGTGGCTTATTGAAAGTAGAATTGGATTTTTTTGTACAAAGCTCATTTTGTCTGCATGGTAAAATCCACTCTCTATGATAACTACTATCCGAATAAATTCTGCTTTCTCCTTGAACAATTTACATGCATGGCTTTCGAATCAATTTAAAAACTTAAATTTCCTTTTTGCCAGGAAATATAGCTATATGTTTGTAAATGTAGATCGTCCAGGTTGGTATAGTCCTGAGAAGGACCGTTGGTGTTGTTGTTGACTGACGTTTCGACAACCTAAACGGAAGTCATCTTCAGAGTCAAAAATGACAATTTTTGAAGATGACTACCGCTAAGGTTGTCGAAACGTCAGTCAACAACAACAAAAACAGTCGTTTTCAGGACTATACCAACCTGGACGGTCTTCATTTACAAACATGTAACGATACTCCCGGGTTCAAACTATTTACTTTATTACGAAATATAGCTATCGCAAAAAATAGCACTTTTGAAACTCGCAGTCAAGGTATTGAAGAAAGCCGCCCGCCATCAAATCACATTTGCAGAAAATGAAAAAATAACCCTACACATGAAAGACAAAAAACTAAACATTGTTATTTTGTAGATATACAAGAAAAATACTTGACCTTCTTTAAAAGACCAAAACGCACATATGTGGTCTCATTTTTAAAATTGATGTTGATATGTGAATGAAAAATAGAATTCATATAAATACAGCATTGGAGGGGGCTTACAGATTTTTTTGTACTCCAATTACGGATTCAAGCCACTCAATAGAGACGACAAATAATCTCATTGTTATTTATTATGAGTAGTTACATTAATTCATCATTGATGCCGGGCTTTGAAATCGACATTGCCGGTCGTAGCGATTCAATTCACTTGCTGTTATATACGTGAATATAAATGATTTGACCTCTTTTTTATTCCGTTTTTTTAGTAGGTTAACACCGCGACAGACAATCTTGTTAAAAAATGCAACCCGTCTGAGTCACTTATGTTTTTTATGTGCATGTAGGTAATATCGTGTCGGAAATTGTGATTCCGTTATTAAATTATTGACGTTCTAGAAAAGTAAGATTCCAATTAAAATCTTGCCCAGCAAGACCCAAACTCAAAAACGAACAATTTTGCAACGTGTTAGAACGAAGAAATTATACTACTTTGGGGGTTTTAATTGTAATTTCGACACCTAGCTTCAGCATCTAGTGGTCATGCAGGCGGTGAAATACAGCCGCGTTGAAATTCAGTAGCGTTTAACTCCAGTTTCTAGCAGCTTTTTGTATAAAAAACTGATCTAGAACAAATCATATTTTTTTTGTATTTCTTAGTTTAATGGAAAACTTCACCAAATGAAAAATGCAATCGATTGTAAGAGAAGATTTCATCAGGCGTTTTGTTGCAGCTGATTTTTAACGCGTGCACATCACTGTTTGCGCATGAATCACAGCGATAAGAAGTCTACGTACGCGTTTGCAATCGGCAATGTCTGAAAAGCGCCAAATTCGCTGAAAGCATCGGCTTACTAGTGTGTACTTATACGATTTAAATTTCAGACCATTAGAAATATTATTTCTTTAGAAATCTATTCATCTTACAGTGGGCAAAGATCGGAATATTTACATAGCATGAGCAACATGCGGGTTGGCTAAGTCAATGGCCGAAAAATATTCTCACCCTTCGTCTCCTCCTGCGTCCGCATCGATATCTCACAATTCTGATACGACATGTTCTCCTTCTTCTATATCGTCGACGTCGCCTTCTCCAGCGAGAACCCCGTTTTTCTCGTGATATCACTTTTTCTCCAACAACTTTAAGCAGGCATTCATATTTTAGTCTGTTCGTCAACGCCGCACAATTGCCAATCGCATACGACGTTTCACACTGTAGGATGCGTAGATTAAGTATGAAAACGAGGATCACAATTACGAAGTAATTCATCTCACTTCACCCACATGCAAAACCTAAAAAGAAACAGTAAAAAATGGTGATTTTTGCCAGATAGCTACTACCAATGATCTGAAACCACGAGTCGACTAGATTTACCGATGATAAAAATCGCTGCATCATCATATTTTTAGTAATTCTACAAAATAATTTTGCCTTAGTTGCATGTTGAAATTTAGGATAATTCTCGGATAAACCCTTAATAAATTTGCTCTTTATTCTCGCGAGTTGGTCCCATAGTAATGGCGGCACATTCAAATTTCATAATTTGTCTTCAACTTTTGCGACAGATGCTTGATCCAGTCTTACTTCGAGATCAGTGTTAGTATTTATTACTCTCAGATAGTTTCATGTGCCATCTTACCTATGCGTTTCTGTATGAGATAATTCAATTTTCGGTATACGTGATCACTGTGCCAACTACCACAGGCAAAAAAATCATATTTTCTCAAATGGGTGAATTATCATATGGTGTAACACAATTGAGTCAAAACGTCATGTTTCACGGAGAAGAGCCTCAATTTTTCTTACTAAAACATGCAAATGTGAGAACAATACTAGAGCCTAGCAATGAAAGAGTTGTGTAATGCGTCCCCTTTCATCAACCGTATCATCAAATGGTAACTATTCCAAAACCTCAATTTCTTTCTTAAATTTGCCCAAACGTAATTATATCATCATTTTAGTACGGTAATGCGCTGTCAAATGATCAAAAATACCAAGCTTTTAGCGTAAAAAAGTCATCACCTGTGTATTTTTGTTTTGGGTTTTTTGAATTCTTTGAATAGCAAATCTCTGTTCGCCATTGTGGTTGTCAAGCGCGGCGTGTGGCGTACTTATGCTTTCATTAGTATTAATTAGCTAAATGAAAAAAGATGTTCAACATGCTATTTGCATTAGCTACTACTTTGTTTCGCCCTTACAACAATTTTACTTCTTCTACTGAATATTAAAATAAAATTATAATAACCGTAGAAAATACTCGCACCGCGTAAAATGCTCTCGTGATCAATGATTGATATGTGTTTTAAGTAAACATCAATGTTAAAATAACACAATACATCAACAAAATTCGAATGCTCAGTCATTATTGAAATAACACAACAATACGACAACCGAGCGACAAAATAAAATTCTTGAATGCAAGTACACATGTTTCTGAAAACTATGAGATATTTAACTCTGTTGAAGCTACAACTCCGCCCATTTGAATTCGAATTACGGTCAACAAATTAAAGAGGTTTTCTGTGAAACTTGTATGTTGACAAGTCCATGTAAATGCTTAAACTTTTCTGTGACGTCTTTGTATTGTAATGCACATGCACATGTATTCAACAAAATTCCCAGAACGCTCAAGAATTGTTCAAAGCTGGCAAAGACCTTCACTTTTCCCTTTCTCATCTAATGACTCACCATGCTGTTTTGCTGTCATTCTGCTTCCAATTAAATTTTCCACATTCCAGTCACGAACGAAAATAATTATATGATATAACGATGATGGAGAATTGTCGTCGATGCTACAAAGTACAGTGCTATTTACATGTTTTCATGCACGTTAAAACTTTTAAAACTTTTAGCTTTGAATATAAGAGTGCATTAAAAAAAACTACGAACTACAATGATTGCTTCTTATTTATTAGACATAAAACAGGACACCAAGTTAACGGTAAATCATCACTCGGAACCTTAAATTGCAGTAAGACTACTGTCAATAACGAAGTAATGTATTCAGAAACATATTTATATTTGTTTATTTATGCATACTGATTAGATTGAGCCTGCGTCATTGTTTGTCGGTTATGTGTTAAGAAAAGACTCGGCAGATGTTTCCTGCTCATAGCGTTATGTGCAAATATTTTCTCATAAAGCAACAGGACACGTGATTATGTGCCTCGTTTTTCTGAGTTTTACTTTTAAGAGATAAAAGTTAATGATGCCTGCAGTGGTCACTCAATAAAAAATTACCATCTCATCAGATCTGTGTAAGATATTTGCACTCGTTGTCACGCGCGTAGCATTATTCAACACAACTTTGCACAGAGCAGGAAGTTTTCTTCCTCAAAGGAAAAGTTAACTTTTCAACTAATACAACTATCGACAAATGTACCTTTCTACTTTCCAATTTATCGATCCTTCTTCCCTCAGATAGCGCGAAAACGCCGCAAAGTCGCGTTCAACGTTTTTATTGTTGCATATTTCTTCGAGAGTGAAGACAATTTATATCATGTTTCAATTTGGAGGTAAAATTTATCATCAGTTGCTGATTGACAATGACGTTAATACCATTCAGATTGCCTTCCCCACTGTTACTATGACGGCAAAAGATTGATATCATTTTACATTGCTGCGCCATAGAATTTTTTCTGTAATAAGCAAAGTATCGGCTTTACTATGAAGATGATCAGACAGCAATTTTGCTTAGCGATCAAAGCTACAAATACATCGCACATAAAGCATTATAATACAGTAAAGTTTACATCGCCACCTTTCACATAAGTACCTCAATTAAAACGTATATAGTTGATAGAAGGCACTTACTTTTGAAACAAACTCACAAGTCCTTTGGAGAAAAGCAAACAAGATCCAAATTTTCGAGTCTGATCAATATTGCTGAGTATTGATTGTGCTGTCTACATGTTTAATGTAAAGCGTGGTTTTAAGGGGAAAAAAAGAAAAATTATTTTCCAGACTCCTTGGTGCGTCTGTTTCCTACGAGATCTGGCGCGTCTGCCCTACTCTGCAGTCTGGCCGATGATCTATATACTATAGCTCAAATATTTTTCTTAGAAGCAATCATGGTGACCACACACAACATCTTACACACACATGTCTTTTCCAAATTTGGCAACAATTAGTTTTATGATTTCAGTTACGCAACTTAACCAAAATATTAATAGACTTAGATTATGAAAAACATACGAGCATTTTGCTTGGCAGCTTGCAAACTTCGAGTAATTTCTCTGGTATCGTTCAGAAACATGCAATTGCAACACGTTTGACAAGATAAACGTTATTGAAATCACATTTTGCCACCATATAAGAGAGACACCAAAGATTGATAATTGTTTAAAGAAGGGAGAGGTAGTTTTCCTATATGCATATTCTGCTTTATTCTGTTTAAATCAATTGTGATAATGTGATTACAGATTATAGCATAAACAAATGAATATGAGTCTCCTCAATGATTAATCATCCACTTTCTCTGAATGTCCATACATTGATTGGAAGCAAGGAAGCCGCCAGTTTGATACCTGGAGGGAGGGCAATATCCTAAATGCATATTTCGCCCCATCAAATGAATGTATAAATATGCTTTCCATATGATTATCAAGCTCTCGATCTCGGGCTTCTTCGAAGTGAAGAAAAAATCTAGCTCATTTAAATTTACTGGCAGATATCTTTGTTGCGGCAATTCAACTACGAAAGCTCTGTTGCTCATTAGCGACAGATAAATAACCGTTCCCTTTCATCATATTGCGTGATCTCTGTTATTGTAATCGACGTGTTTTTTCTAATTAAGATGGTGTTTTGATATCACTTAATTAAGGGTTTATTTGAGGGATTATTGCAATTCGCAGTGTTGGAACGTTTGCTGATTGACATACAAGACTGTTATTTGGTTTGTCCAAGAAACATGAAAGAAACTTAAATTAGAGCATGTAGGATTGCAAACAATTTTGTAGATTTTTTATTAACTGTCAATGACAGCTTTTGTCGCCCCTTTTTTTGATTACTTTTGCAGCTTCCTTAATGTTCCCGTTGATACATTCGTGTAAATAGTTTTTCAGCAATATCAAGTAATATAGAGAAAAGCAGGCTTCTATAGACTAGACTACGTATGGTATTAGTTAATTAGCAAACTGTGTGTCAGTCAGTACATGCATCCTCATTTGTAGTTTACAGACAAGAAAGAATTTTGAGAAAGGAAATTGCTCTACGCTTAGGTTTTAGCTAAACTTTGCAACAGTGCAGTTTCCTACAGCAAGCTCCTGTGGATTGTCTCCACAACAATTGACATTAAACATTAAACAAACATATACGCACAAACCACCAAGTGAAGTAGCTGCGTTGTCACAAAGTGTTCCAGATGTGCGAGCAACGACAATACCGAAGGTTTTTTTGTTAATCGTTCTCATCAATATATTATATGCTGTCAAGTATGTTGTGCGGTATATCTTACAAAATAAACAAATAACGATATCTTAGTCTGATCAAAGCAACGTGGTCTTGGTTGAGTTATCCTTTGAACATTTTAATCTAGGATTAAGTCTTAGTCCCGTATGAGCAGGCAAAGATTTTTAGTTGGATTTTTATCACTACGACAACAGAACCACCATAAACCAGCTTCTATCAGCATGAGCTTCATTTTTATGTTCTGTTAAAGTGTCTATGAAGCGAATTTTCTAATTTCATGTTCTTGTAGATTTATAATGTGTAAAATAAAAATAAATCAAACAGTACTCTCTACCCAGCATAGTACCTAGCTCAATAGAGCTAATTAGCGCAAGTGCTTGTTACAATGCACAAAAATGACAATTGATTCAAAAGAACTTAGCACAGCAAAATGATGCAATCCCCCCGCTCCCCACCTTCATTCCACTATCTAGCTACGTATGCTATTGGCTATACCTGGACTAAACTACTTATGGAGTCACTGTTCTATCGTCCAAATAAATGTTTATACTGTATTATAAGTGATATCAACTATATATGTAGCTAGTAGTATATTAAGATGAAATTCATATTGAAATATTAGAACATCCGGTAGGCTAAATCTGCTCTAATTGTCATTCACATTAGTTAAATTGAAAAATTCATATTCGTATACGCGAAGAATAACCGTTAGTTACATTCTTAATGCGAAATAATACACCTCAGGCAACATGCCTGATTGACAAACGTTATAATTTCGAACTATGAATATGAACTATGTTTGTTTTTGTATTCGTAATGATAATAGAGAGCTTTGGCAAGAGGAGTACGACTACGACAACGAGTACGAAGTTTGAAAGTGTAAGGGAATGGCACGAGGAAGTTTGTCAACATGCCTGATTGACAAACGTTATAATTTCGAACTATGAATATGAACTATGTTTGTTTTTGTATTCGTAATGATAATAGAAAGCTTTGGCAAGAGTACGACTACGACAACGAGTACGAAGTTTGAAAGTGTAAGGGAATGGCACGAGGAAGTTTGTTGTCGTTGTCGCTTCGCCAAACTTTTGTTTTAGTTGTAAACAACAGGACGAGCCTTTTTATTATGAAAAACACCGACGTTTGTGAAGCAGCTACGGCTCCATTTGTCAATAATGATATCAACTAATCGGTAATACTGGTTTTGCGAGAATATAGGACTCTTTAGAGCAGGGGTCTCCAAACTACGGCCCACGGGCCAGATGCGGCCCGTTGGGCCTCTCAATCCGGCCTGCAGAGAAACTTAAGAAAAAAAAATTATTAAACAAAATAAACTTTGTGCAGAAAGTTCATGTTATGACGCAAGTCAACTAGCAAGAGTGGCATACGTCAACTTTTGTCCCAACTTCCTACTTCCGTTTCAAGCACATTGCGAAATTTAAAAATCTGAAGGATGACGTGGAAATTCTTTATATTTCAATGCTTCATAATGGCCGATAAAAGAAAAAGAAAATAGATGATGAATGTCGGCGATTTCAAGAAGAGTGGAGTGTAAAATACTTCTTCATGATGTTCTTCGTTATGTACTTCGTTTTAAGTATTCGCTCTTTGACCAGCGGTATACGGTTCGTCGGCCCTCAACATGCTGGATGAAAGTTCATGTGGCCCTCTGGCTAGAAAGTTTGGAGACCCCTGCTTTAGAGTAAAAAATCTTAACTATTTTAAATTTTATGTATTATATATTTGTACTATTTTATTGTTTGTTTACCGTTTATTTTGCGTGCGAAATACATGAAAGTTTTCAAGGTCATATTTTACTTTTAAATGTACATATGCGCTCATAAAAGGTTCTAAAGTAAAGCCTAGATGCTCGAAAATAGTACTGTAAACTAATTTCTTACACAATGAAAAAAATACCTACTTTCTATGCTTAAAAAGACATCGTAGTCGCGACTACGAATTTTTTACAAAACATCGTACTCAAATTGATGACGGCTACGTGTTGTTGTTGTCGCAACAATGTTTTCGCGCCAAAATGACGTATAATTCGTATTCGTAGTCGTTCTCGTAGTCTTTGCTAAAGCTCCCTAATATCTTTTTTTGTGCGTTTAAAGACAATTTATAACTCACAATTCACGTGCACTTTTGACTTAAGCATCCTTTTCGATTAGCATTTTACAATTGGAACTTCAACATCACGGCAAGAAACTTTAAAAGAATCCGTGTCATTTGGATGCGTGCTACATAACAGAGCTAGTTTTTACAAGCTATACGAAGGAATGCAATATAGAATACGAAGAATGAGTGGACCACAAGTAATAAGGCATAGTACGCTATTTTTTATGGTAAAATGTTCAGAAGCGTGCAGGATCTCGCAAGTTTTCCTCCTGCTATAAATTTCAGTGCGTTATCATTATTCATTTCTTTAGAAATCTATTGTTTTTTGCAGCGAGTGAAGGCTAAAAAAGTTAGACAGAAGCAAAACCAAATTTGTAGCAGGCTGCGCCACTGTAATATAATATATAACTAAAATGGCATATGGTTGTGATCATTTTTTATACAGACGCGATGAGAGATAGTAAAAAAAAAATTTTTCATAGAATAGCCTTTATAGGTTCTTTCCAATACGAGAAAAGCAGCTAAGAAAGGATGTAAAATTGTCATGCTTAAAATTGCTTCATGCTTAAAATCTTCAAATGTAAACTAGAATGAACAGGCGCTGTTGGACAATTTACAACAAAAAACACGGGATCGAGCCATATGGTTCTCAACACACTTCAGTCTTTGTCAGGCATGTATCGAAAGCAAACCGCAAGGTGGTTGTACAAAAATATTATTGATGATTATTCATGTGATACAGGTGTAAATTTCGACGTCATGCCGTTCGTAGGATTGAAATATACCAAATTTCAGAGAAGACCGACTCAAACCGGATTTAATCGCGCTTATTAAATAAAACTTGATTCCAACCTTTCCGTTATTGACACGCACTCTGAACTTAATCAAAAAATTTTGTTATCAAAGAAAGGAATGAAGAAGTTAAAGTTGATGAGCAATGGCGTTAGCAGGAGTCTTGGTCACTTTCGAAAGATGTTTCATACAACATGCCGGTCGAGAAGCATAAAAAAATACTGATTTTTTTCCTCGACCAACTGTACTGGTTCGTGTGATTTAATTTAATTAATTGAAGAGTATTTGAACCGGAAAATGCTCTTGAGCACTGCTGTGTAGAACGAGACTATGTCAGCCGTACACGGAATTCAACGATAATTGATTAGTCATGAAAAGTTATTGAAGAAAACAAGCTTATGAAACATTTCTAGCAGTTCTCTGGGCAGATACGCTAACGACCAAAGTTTTTGAGAAGCTGCTTTGCTTTTGGGTGCCTTCTGGTTTTTGAAACCTGCATTCCAAGGGGAACTACTAGCACAAAAATTTTTGATGTGTGTTGTAATAACTCTGACGAAAGCAGTTCTAGTGATGCTATCGCAAGGCGTGATGAATCATTACGCAAAAGTTCAGGTCTTAAGAGTTAAGACTGTCTGAAGAAAGTCTGCTCGCCATATGATAAATATGAAGGTGTTCTGTTAGTTTGCAAAGAAGAACTTTACCACCAAAATTAACTGATAACTACACAAAAGCTACTAAAACTAGACCTTTTTTAGGCAAAGAATGCAGATGCACTAATCACTATAAGTACATCTTAAAATATATATTTGCATGCTTAATTAATACTTTGAATGCATTACTCATAATCTTGTGTAAATACCGTAGGTAAACATTGCCTTTGCTGTAATGCTGCAATTCATCAAAGATGGCACAACGCTTAAAGATTTGGCATTTTGATCATTTTTGGTCAGTGTGATCTCGCGACCACTTAAGCATTGTTTATTACTCTTTTCATAAAAAATGATTTGAATGGAAACTTTGATTCTTTTTAACCATTTATTCTAGTGTCTAAAAACAACAGCATCTCAGCACCTGAGAATATACAGCTTGAACACGACAAATAGGGATCCACGCGTTGTCGTGTTTGTACGTTTGTCGTGTGCCAATACTGTTTACACAAATATACCAGAAAGAAATGAGCGCCGTAACTCAGCTTGATTATCATTTTAAGGTATATAGTTTTAAAGTTCGGAAGCTGTTCATTGGTTACAAGCTTGTAGGGTTTTTTACAACCATTTCTCGTTGTGTAAAAACACATTCAAACGTCAAACATGTAGCTACAAATGTCGTTCAAAAGTTTGAACCTGCGCTTTATCTTGCCTGTCCAAGGCGCGCATCAAAGTATACAGGCAAAAAATCTTGATAAATGTTAGACAAGGCTTGATACATATGAAATGAATTACCACACAATTAGCAACATTTAGTTTCTTATTGAAGGGTGAAGATTTTGATCGCCATAACGGATTGGACGCAACTACAATTTTTAAACCAACGCTATTTTTGCACCGTCAGGCATTTGGCATCGAGAAGTGTAAAACACGACTATATTGAAAGCAAAGAAACATCTTTACCTCTCTAGGAATCCGCGTTCACCTCTGGTTTGAAAAACAGCATGTACACAAGCACCAGTGAAAGGATGAAGAATCTCTAGCTGCGCAAACTTGAGAACAGGAAACCACCTTTGAAGCAAATGCGCAAACAAAAAGTGGTCAAAAGGTCAGTCATAAGAAATAAGTCAAATATTTATCGATGACAGTGCCATGTCATAGTCGACATGCGTGGTGTAGCATTGTCATTATATGAGCAGGAATGTCCAAAAGCGTGAATTTGAAAACCACCTCGTCGTGTTCGATGTCTGCACGAACACCGGAAATAACTTGCATAACGGAAGTCTTTGAAAACTTGAAACGTGAGCCACGCCAACTTAAACCGCTCAGCAGAAACACAAGCCGAAGCATGCGATTTGTGCAAGTGCTTCAAAATTAGCACAAATACGCGCAAATTTTAAGCGTCTCATACCTTGGGCGTATGTTTAAATTAAACCTAGATCTTTGACGGTCGTAATATGACCAAGAAAGCTATCTCTAGTCTTTCGAAGCAATTCTTCTAGTTTTATCTAGTCTATTGTTTTTCAAAGCAAAACAATAACAATCCTGTGTGACCAGTGTTACTCTTTTCACAGCATTTCACATCCAGAACTGACAAACATATTGAATTAGCTGTTCCTGACGATTTCCTTAAACACCTGCCTCGAGAGGTTTTACGCCGATGAAGCCGAAAAATGGCGCATTCCGGGGAATGTGAAAATTTTCGCGACTATAAATATTTTTTATGTTCTGTATTGCACAAATTGCAATTAAAAAGGTAAATTAGCGAAACTAGCTCAAGCTTGGACGTAACCATCCATGTGGTAAGTATGGTAACGATAGATATTAACCGGTGTTACTGGTTCATGTTCATTACAAAATAATTTCACTATAAATTTATGAAAACATTTATCAAAATTTTCAGTGCTCAATGTATTGTATCCATGAAACAGTTAGTTTTACGTTATTAGCATTCCTTCCTGTGAGTTTCACTCCTGCTATGTAAATTAAAAACATTGTTAAAAATTAAGTACTACAATTTTCAACAAAAGTTATGTTTGTTAGTGCTGAAAGATTGCAGAAAACCAACACGACGATATTTGTTTATCCGAAAGTAAAAAGACTGATAATTGGGGCGAGGGGGCTCGTATTCATTTCATTCATACGTTTTTATCCATAATCACAATTGATTTCAAGTGTAATATGCTTATTACTTTATATTACGTAGAACATTATATGCATAATTTCTTTTTTTTGACTCTGAAGATGACTACCTCTAAGGTTGTCGAAACGTCAGTCAAAAACAACAAAAACAGTCCTTCTCAGAACTATACCAACTTGGACGATCTTCATTTACAAACATGTAACGATACTCCCGGGTTCAAACCATTTACTTTATTATATGCATAGTATTACATTATATTAGGACATTATATGAATATCAGACCACCCCCCGATTATCGATGTTCTTCTATGTTTTTAATCAAATAATCACAACTGATTTCAAGTGTAATATGCTTATTCATAATATGACTATTAACCTCTCACCAACTAAAGATTTTTCTCGATTGACGTATGAGAAAAACTTTACTTCGCCCAAACTTTTTTCCTTCATACTTTCTTTCGGAGTCAATTCAACAAAAACAGTTTTTGTTTGCTAAATTATAAAATATTGCAAACTCATCTGCAAATATGTATTTATATTTACACTATGAAATAATCATTGGAATGTACAGAATGTTAAGTTGGTTTCAAGCCAAAAATATTATTATTACATCGCCTTATGTAAAGATGTTGCATAAAGCATCGTCTAAGGTGCTGAGTCTAAGTTTCCGGGAAAAGTACTCATTTCAAATAATACATTGATCGTAAAAAAATGTAAATTTGATAAAAGAAAGAACTGCCTTTTATAAAGAACTGTCACTTCTCACAGTTCTTCCTTTTCCATTCAAAGCATTCCAGCTTCAAATTTTTGAGTTTTATCGGGTTTGAATACAGATCCGTTGTGCATGAAAACATTGCAAATCGCAACACGCCATTACAAAATTAATTAAAATCTGCTACTCCACGGTAGACAGAAAGTTTCATTGACAGACACGAGCAAATAGCAACGTTATCAAAAACATCTTATGTGTTCTCGAAGATACGATGTTTTTTTTTATCACCGTCTGTCTGAATCTTTAGCGCCTTTGACTAAAATTCTCACCAAGAGGCAAGAATCGTCAATGTATCATATGCAATAACGAGCTTTGTTTTGTCTTGCCAATCTTGCATACAAGCCGACGTACATTACTCCTCTGAAGATGTTGCTAACAAGCCGCTGTACTGTACATACACATATATTCAGTTGTGCCCGACTAATCTCTTAAGAAAGCTAGTACACTTTCAATGGAAATTAGTTGGGCACTATTGAATACGTGAATACTCATTCAAAGGCGGCCAGCCTGCAAATTTGGTCAGTGCTGGTGCTGTGTAATATTTTTATCATTAGCATTATTCATTTTTTTTAGAAATGTATCATTTTTACATGAACTTTTACGGGCTGGCTACGCCACTGTTAACACCCCCTCCAATTAATGTTCGGAGCATGCTAATTATATTTTAGAATTTTTTCTAATCCAACCGTTTTTTGACTTATGTTGAGAAGTATGAGATACACTAAAGATCTCAGTGAACTACGAAAACCTTAAAATAGAGCAGCTCTGTTGATCATAAAATTGAAAAATGAGTATGGTTATGACGTACGTCCCTGCTATGGGTAACACCATGTTTAGAAGATGCAAATACCATTTATGATTAAAATTTAAGAGGATTCGGAACCGGGGGGCTGAAGCCTCTCCCCTCTTTTAGAAATAGCAAAACAAAAAATATTTAGACTGAGCTGAAGTTGTTGTTTAGAAGTGTTTTTTAAGTCACTATAGTAGAGTTGAATACTTAGCTTACACACGTCATATGTTGCTTTATCGTCCCTGGGCTTTACAGCCAAACTTTGTATTAAAAAAGCAAAATCGGAATTCCTAAGAAAAATATTAAATGTAGTAAATTGAAACTCTGGCCGAACCAAGCCTATTTCAGGGAATACGAAATTATTAAATTATTTTGTCTTATGCTCTCCTCATCATCGACCTTAATCTAATTTGTAATTTGTATCATCTTTTCAAATTTTTTATGTACGTTTAAATAAAACTGTATAGTGTTTGTGACAAATCCCTTTTGAAAAGCAGCATTTGCTGAAAAATGTAATTAGTGCAAATCAAATTAATCATCATTATGATTTATGATAAAGTAAAATAGTCATCTCACTATTTCTATTTTTATCTACTCGTTGAGTTTCACAAACAGATGTCAGCTCCAATTCATTCTTGGGAGAGTGGGTGTTTTTTAAGGATTTCTCACGCGTGATGACGAATGCTCCCATGACGTTTGCCCTCGTAGGTTTTCTAACCACACGCCCATCACAGTAAATCATGCCAAATGACGTAAAACGAGCATTCTCAAACAACCCACTCTTTTTATCCTCGTAACACACGCATTAGCTATGTTTATTAAATGCTCGTAACAAGCTGAAATTGTCTGGTTAAATTAAAAAAAAAATACAAAGTGTTGCCATGTTATTGAGCTCAATCATGTGTTTGTCTCATTTAATTTGCATTTAACACGTTGAGTCAGGCAAAAACATATTTGTATCGTACAACGTATTATCGTCTGTTTAAAGGCCGATAAAATAATCAGTACAATTTTTCTCAATTGCATACCTTCCCTTTTTTTGACATTCTGGTTACGGCCCTGTGTAATTTAAGCTAGGAAATAATGTGCGTCTATACAATCCCAGCTCTACTGCCTTGCGGTTTCTGATAATTTATGAGCTTTAAATTTGCTTAGAAAAAGGTATGCACTTATTGTAAAGTTATGCGTAAGCGTTTAAAAGGCTGGACATGAGCAGCATAAATTGCGCGCTATTATGGCCGTGTTAGGACTGAAACCAACATCTCTCCTCACTCACTTGAAAAATCAAATAAAAACATGGCGATTGCTTGAGTCTCCGCACGTTGCAAATTTGAACTACGTATTGAACGTGTTTTACGAACGGTAACTGTTGTTTCAAGCCTGGAAATAACTTTACATCATTAAATTTTTTCAAGACAATCGCATTGAAGCACGGATTTGTGCAGGATAGCGAAAATATCATCAACATGGCCCGTCCTCTACGAGAGATACAACCGACACAGACGTCAAAGTTGAAATTGTATTCAAGTTCAACAGTCGAGTGTCTGGAGCGCCTAGAAGGAAACGGTGATACGGCAAGGAGAATTTGCGGTAAATCTAGTCGATGTGGAAGGTATTCGTGGCTGTTTCGTGGTTCTGCACTGGAGGTATAAACGTTTTGTTGCAATAAGCTTATTCCAAATAAATAGACATCTTATTCCACTTATGAATCTGGCAGAATTTAAACCTTGTAATATAAAACTAATATTTTTTGTCCACACATTCTATATATCTTCGCTATGGTGATTATCACGTTTTCTATGATGATGAGCCAGTCTGCCAGACTGTAGTTTTTCTCTTTGTGGACACTGGAAAGTATATATAGCCAAATATAGGTGCTTCTATGGACTACTCTGTTTAGATAAAGGTTTACTGCTGGTATTATTTTGTAAAAGTAAGGCACTAGGGAGTAAAGCAAAGCCATCAATAAGCATTTTTTGCCTTCCCCCTGAGAAAATTTTCTTCGGTTCAAAATTAAATACATATTAGATGGCATCAAATGTCATCAGAAACCAATCGACACTTATTGCTTGATGTTGTTTGACAGTCATTTCTCATTGTGCGGACACTAATTTTCACAAAGTTAATGTTCTGCTTTTTGAAGATTTTTTGTTTTTTTCAAATCAACAAAATTAGGTTATCAATCCAGTTTCTGGTTGTCGTCTTTCGGCCTGGCGGTTTGGGTGGAGTGTGGGCAAAAAATTATCGTTAGTCATCAGTTGTGCCATAGAATATCCAACTTCCAATGGCATATATATACTGGTCGGCTTGCAAAATGTTACAGTCAACACTGGTATGTTGTGTGTATTTGATCCTGTACTATCAAGAGTTATCAAGGCCATTGAACTTCCAAGAAGCATCACATTTATTGAATATTTGACAACATCTGGAGGAGTCAATGCACCACATCATTCGATTAGGTGAATTAGATTTTCTCTGTCTTGAAATTCAATCACATATTAATCAAAGTTTGTGCTGAAAATAGAGGTGATATGATTCACTCCACTTTGCCAACAATTTTTCTAACATGCATTCTTCAGCTTGATTCACAGCATACTTTTTCTCCCTACTAAAACTCTTCTTCTCCTGCTCCACAAACTCCTTCCTTGTCTTCTTTGGTCATCCTCACTTCGTGTCTGCCTTCAAATTTTTATACAAATCAATTGATTATAGTTGTATACTTAATGTTGCAACATCTGTACCTCTTATATTTTTTACTCATGGTATTCCGAACATGATTCAGATTACATTTCTTACTTTACTACAAGTAGGTACTTGCAATTATTAATTTACTTCAACGATGAGGGCTTTTTCTAATTTCGTAATCAACTTCCGATTTTCCAGCTCTTCGTTGTGCGAGTTTTATGGATGTGTAGCTGTTGGTGCACGTGGTGGTCACGTGTACCTAGTCGACCTTCGTTTGGACGATGATGTTGAGGAATTTGACGAATGGAATCCGAGCACTTTGGAAATTGTTGACGCGGATGATCCCGACACTGAAGTGCACAGGATAAGCTCAAGAGAGAATGGCACACATGTCGCCTTCGAACTCGGAGGTTTGTATTGATAAACTTGCTGAACTTTAGTTTAAAATTACATTTCTTTCCATGCTTTTTCATTTATTCAAACATGCAAATTGTTTGGATGGCATTACTGGGAAATTGGACGTTAATCAGGGCATGGGAAACGGAGCATTTCCTAAATAGCATCTCAATGATTGGGGTTCAATACTTTATGTTAGGAATTAAAAAAGAGCATGAAGAGTAAAGCAACGTCTGTGCCGAATGTATTGAAAAATTTATGCCCTTCACAGTTATACGCATTGACATAGTGACGTGATTGTCCGTCGTAGAGGTACTTTAAGACCTGGGGACTACAAACGTTGTGCTCGTGACAGGCACGTGACAATTCAATAGAGACACCTTTTTGTATGGAGGCATTTTTGGTTGTCATTTCAGGAAAACTTTGCTTAACTGAAAATTCCTGTCTTTTATGTTACGATCATTATGTTCGGGTTGTTAACAGGTTGAGCCTGCGATTTGAGTACCACAATCAGATTAGTCGTAGAAAACATTTTTATATTTTCGCTATTATATCGAACTGCGTTGAACGGAAGCTGTTCACAACAAGAAATGGAAGTGTGATATAAAACTATGTCTGTAGGTGAATGTCACGACTTTGGAAGATTTACTTATGTTTCATCCGAAGGCGAAGATCTTGGCAGTTATCCTTCAAGTACGTCTTCTTAAAAGCTAGCTATAAATATTTTAGCCCAAACATCCTTCTGATTTATCTAGCTCGCGTTTCCTCGTTTAGATGACGTAAGCGTGACATGTTTAGCGTACATACGACAGTTGGGTTCATTGATTGTTGGATACAGCTTCGGTTGCTTTCAAATTTGGGATTTGGAACAACATACGAGAGAGTAAGTGAATTAAAGAGAATTTATCTAACGCGATGAGTCGTTTAATAAGTTTGAGCCGACGCTTATTAAATAACTCGTACGTCATTCGGTTTTTTAGCCTACCCGCTTAGCTACTATTTGGTCCTGCAATTTTTTTTCTGGCCTTATTCACTTCGAAAGAAACTTTTTCAAAAATATGAATAAGGATAATGTTTTGAAATTTGCAAAGCAGGACTAAAACTTGTGGGCTGGCTACGTCACTGTATATGGTAAAGAACGCTGTTCGAAGCCGAAAGATGAAGTCCAACAGAATTTGTTGAAGTAAATACGTCGATAAAAATGAAAACGCAGTTTACATAGTTCTATATAAAAAAGCAATGCTAAAGCAATATTACACTAGTACTTACCGTCAATATGGCCATTCACGTGTCCGTGTGTGCAGCACTTGCAGTTTATTCATTTTTGTGTTTCGCAGTGACATTAACCGTGGATGTTTTTATTGTTTATAAATTCGACTTTTTCTTTTTTTTTCTAGGTTCAGCAGTTCGTTCGGTGTGTATGTTTTACCTGTGACTCATGTAACATACCAGGTGGGTAACCTTGCTCAAATGTAGCCGCTATACTCCTCACGTGCTCAAATCATAACCATTAAAAGATAACGCAAATCAGTCCTCATGCTCTTTAGAATCTTTTCATCAACTCTCATGTCATTCACAACAAGCGCTGCTTTCTATTCGCTTTATGCCGTATATGCTTTACAACTGCATCTGCGGAAACGCACATAAATTATGTATTCGCTGCAAGTTTGTGACCAGCATCCACAACAATTCAATAAACTTGACAGTCCTGTGCCTCTGGGATTTTATAGGGTTTGTAAAGTATTCGTTAAATCAAAGCAAGATAAAAGTACTGTCATAAACTGATTTTCATCTCAAATTTATCACACAAAAGCTTTGTAGAATCAAAGCGACATTAACTGAGTTACACCCATTGAACTAAAATACAAGTGTTTCGAGGTTCTCTCGCCGAGTGTAAATTGATTGACTACACACGCGTGTCTGGGTGTAAAATTTGGCTTCAAGAATGTATTGGAATTTTCTATTACAGGTAGTGTTTCATGTATTTTAGCTCAATGGTTATAACAGCCACAAAAACGTCATCAGATTTTCCATGAGTTGTAGCGAACATAGAAAAGCGTATGACTAAATTAACCTGGCGGAACAAATAGCTATGGCATACTTGATATTTTATTCAGATTTCATTTTAATGCATACATAATTATTTGTACTGGTTCCTTTTTTTTTTTCGGAGACACCCTGTATGTGCAATACATTGCTTTTTACAGTAGGTCATCAAGGGATTTGAGTGGGTTACTTTGATAGAGGATTTGCGCAGTTGATTTTCATGTTGGTACAAAGTAGGTCATCAAGGGATTGGAGTGGGTTGCTTTGATAGAGGATTTGCACAGTTGATTTTCATGTTGATACAAAGTAGATCATCAAGGGATTTGAGTGGGTTACTTTAATAGAGGATTTGCACAGTTGATTTTCATGTTTGCACGTACAATGTTGGTCATCAAGGGATCTGAGTGGGTTACTACGTATGATAGAGGATTTGCACAGTTGATTTTCATGTTGATACAAAGTAGGTCTTCAAGGGATTTGAGTGGGTTACTTCGATAGAGGATTTGCACAGTTGATTTTCATGTTGATACAACATGATGTCTTTACATGACATGGCAATTCTTGTCTAAATTCTAACTCCGTGATGCTTGGTATTTTAGACTCGAAATGGGACGTTTGTTTTTGAACGTGTATGAAAAAGTATAAATCTGTTTGATGACACATGAACCTATTACAGCGTTGTTCATTTGTTTGTTTGCAGGAGCCTGAGAACGACCCACGTTTGTGCTGTTACCTGTGGGTTGCACGTGGACAGACTGGAGACGAGGATGTTGAAGATATGGCCACTACCACCATAACCTTGTATCAGTTGATCTACGAGCGAAAAGAAAATTTACCGGGTTATGGTCGTGTGTTAAAGGTATCTATTTTACAAGAAATTGTGTCGATAGGGGAGTGGGAAGATTTATTACGGTTTGATGGTTGCCATTAGGGGTAGAGATGAATGGTGGTTTGATGGTTGTTCTGCCGTTAGGTGTAGAGGTGATGAATGTTTTGGTGGTAGTGCTGCTGTCAGGAGAGGTCTGATTGATATTTTAATGGTTCTTCGGTTGGTAGGGGAGGAGTAATTGATGGCTCTACTGTGGGTAGTCAGGAAGGGGTTGTTCATTTCGGTGTTCGTGAAGCATTTTTATGAATTTAGGCCCCATGGTGTTGTTTAACTTTGGCATATTTTAGAATTTTTTTATGTGCACAAATTGATTTTGCGCGTGCTGCCGATTATAAAACTTTCAATGTTATCATTTACTCCATTTTCATAGACGTGGAGTACTCTAAAAAATGTTTATTTATGTCAGATTGTATAAAAAAGTGTAAAATATTTCATGATGTAGTTATAGCACAGTCTTTGCGCAAACGACTTATGTTATTTGCTTTACAAAACGCTTATATTAAGTGTATCAAGTTTACAATAGACTACCTCACGTATATGTTCTTCAAAATGATGCGTTTCATTTTATATTTAAGGACTTTTCTGGCTGCGGTGGACGATTCGAACACCAGCTGACAGGCGATCCTTACCATTTGGCAGATGCCACCACTTGTGGCAGTAAAGTACTTTGTTTTTACACGTTAGGTACGTTCATAAATATCATGTCTTGAGTTTCTTGTATGGAATGCATGTCTCGAGTCTCATGATTTGAGTGCGATCTTTCGTGATTTGAGACTCATTGGCGAGCTTACGTGGAGATAAAATATATCAGAAGAATTTCCGCACAATCTGTACGAAGTGCTGGTTTACTGTTCTCAAAACTTCACTCGAACGATGGGACTGTATTTTGATAATTATATTTAACACTTCGATAGGATATTTACAGTGGTTGTGCACGATTTTTATGTTACGGAGTTCCTAACGTTGGTTCTTCGCAATACGTAATATTTGAATTGATATCGTTAAGATTACGGACAACCGTCAATCCTTTATTGCCTTCGACTGCTAATTTAATCAAATTTGTATGACCAGTTCATACACCAATAACGTCAACTTTTCTGAAACCCCGAACCAACGCTTGCAAGCTTATATAATTATTAGGAAGTGGTTTACGCGTTTACATGACTTGCAACTTCTCCATTCCGTTTCTAGAGTTTTGTTTTTACCTACATCATACCGCAATGACGCATTGCGTTGAGAAAGCGTTCCCTTGACATGACTGTAGTATTTTAGTTTTACGTTCAGGATTTCCACTGACACCACAATTTTTAACTACGTATTTTCCATCAATTTAATAATATCAGTTTTAATCTTATAATCTATAGCTATAACACAGTCACACGCTACATAACTTCACATGACAATTTACAACAAGAATCTTCTCGAAGCGTTGTTCCGTTCTTGCCCCCTGCGTTCATTTTCTTCCGTGGCCAGCAGTGTTATTCAAAAATCAGCTTATCAATTGAAAAACATCGAATTGAATGCAAAAACCCTATTTTTGTTCCAAAAGCATTGTTCTGAATGCACAACAAATTTGTGACGATACAAATTCAGTCTAAAGTCACGAGGAACTTTATTAACGCAATTCGAAATACAACTGATTTCCTGTACAAAATCAGTAGTAGCAATGCATAATCAAAGTTTATTCAATGCGAGATAAAAGTCTATAGTGTAATAAATCTATTGAAGACCGGGAACGAGAAATTATATAACTGGGGCTCTTAATGCATGTTTGCTTATCATAATTTAATAGAGCTTAATGGTTATTATTCGTACCAGTCAATCCAGGCTTCGAGCAACCGGCCCTGTTATTTTATATTTACATTTATATTTTAATGAATCAATAATGAACAAAACGTTTTGCGCTGTTTGTGGACATATTTAGCAGACTTCATTCGCATTCTATCCGAGTTGTGAGTTAAAGAAAAACGGTGATTCCACTGATGCTTCGTAGTTGGCCCACTTTAGTAATACTTCGCTATTAATTAACCGAATCTAGTTTTTCCTGTTCCGGTTCGATCTCTAGTATTTCTTTTGTTTCTCCTCTGCCAAGCTTGTCTATCTTCACGAAAGGAAAAAACCCTGAAATGAATGACCTTCATCGTAGAAAATCAATGTTGTGGTCATTCCTAAAGGTTTTGTACCCTGGAATGAGTTTTATTTTGCATTGCGTCGATAAAGTTTCTCATAGCATTTGACTGAATTTCTATCGTCGCCAATTTTTTGTGCAATCAGAAAAAAGAATTTTGTATCGGAAACAATGTTTCGCATTCAATGCAATATTTTTGGTTTGATAAATTGCTTTGATAAATTGCTTTGATGAATTGCACTTTGATAAATTGCACTTTGATGAATTGCACTTTGATAAATTGCACTTTGATGATTTATGAATTGCTCCTATGGGCCACCGTAATCTTCTCTATAGATGAAATTTAATGATTGTGTCGAAACAAGAAATATGACAAACCTTCAGTCACTGTCCTATCACTAATGTATTTCATTCTTATCAAATGCATCAATTGCGTGAAATAAAATATTTTAAGTACTTTAGAGTGTAGTATAATTTGACTGTTCAATGCGGTTTGGGTATTTAGTGACTGTATTTTTATATGTGTGTATGACAGTTCAATGTGCTTCAAATTTCTAGCTGCTAAATTTTGTCATCCCTTGGTATGATTTACAAGAAATTTGTTTTTGCACAGCTTGTATTACTTTTACTTATTCGACAGCTTGGTCAAACAAACATGACAACGCTACAGTTTGTCTGTTTGAGTTTGTGATATTATGCTTTTGTTATCTGGATTATGTTTCTGTGATGTTGTTCTTTGCCCATGTTTCCGTTCGTGACGACAGATCAAAAGAATGCCGATGTTATTTTATTATTTTCGTCGTCAATAATGTGTCGTCATCTCGTTTTTGATGTATATCATGTTTTGTTTAACTGCTATTAACCGATAAGTTTGCCTCTCGCCGACAAACGCCTTGGTGCTTGGCATGTGTCCATCAGTATCTTGATTCGAAAAACATTTGCAAAAATTCCGCTTCTTAACAAATGGGACTGACTGTGAAAGGAAGTGAAAACGTCACATTAACCAAAGCAGTTTCATGCTATAAGACGATTTCAACCGCTCCGATGTATTTAAGTATTATTTAGCCAGACAAGCCACGGAATGATCAGAATTTGTAATTACTGTACAACATTTGTCATTACTGACAGATATATCATTCAATAAACATGTTAGATACGCAGTTTGTTACATATAAGATGTAACTAATGACAGATATTCAAATCTTGAACCCCCCCCCCCTCACACACACACAGAGGAGTTCTTATACGTTGTTCATACGTTTACAAGAGCTAAAACATCTCGATCGTAGTGTATTTGAATGTCGAAATTCAAACGCTGGAAAACTTCGCAATTTAAGGTCGCGTTGTTCTACCATAAACTTATTCTTCAATTGATGAACCTTTTTATTCAAAGTCTCGAAAATATCACGAGTCGCTATGTTTAGATGAAAATTGCGTCATCACGACTTGATATGACGTCACGAGATAAACCAAATCAGAGGAAATCAATATGGCTGATTTTAAAATTGCTCGAGACTAACTTTAAATTTTTCGAGACTCATTTCGATCGGGTCGTATCAACTGAAGTCTGGTAAATGCATATTTTGATGGAAATTCTGACACTGCTTACAAATATTGTCGAAGTACATAGCTTGAACGTTTATTGGGGGTGGGGGGTGGTTGTATATTCATATATTCAGCAGTGCCCAACTGACTTCTTTAAAAAGCGTATTCGGTCTCAACTGAATATATGAATGAACACCCCCCCCCCTCCAATTACCTTTTTAGCTACGTCTGTGAGCACATCACAAGATACCGATTCCATCCTTGCTGTACAATTTATTAATAAATATTCTATCGATATTTTTTGGTTACAAGAGTTTTCGAAGTGTCAGAGATACTTTTAGAGATACTTTTAGATACTTGTCAGAGATACTCGAAGTGTCAGAGATACTTTGATTGTGCATTACCTATGGTGACTATATTTTGTTTGGTCTTTTCCGCATCTTTCGGTCACGTGTTCATGGCGTGAGAATATCTGTTCGTTTTTAAAACCCTTCCAATATTGTTAGATTAAGTACAACGTAAGAAGCTAACTCTAAGTTCTATCAACTACATCCTACAGATCCAATTCGATTTTGATAACTTTTTGAACTTTTTGATAACTTTATATTGGATACGCTAGTCAAACGATATGCACTTCATTAGCATAACATTTTCATATCGGCGTTCGTTTTTCTTAGATCGGGACGAGGTAACAGTGGACGTGACGAGGATGGACGATAGTTCTGACGAAATCGGTATGACTGCAATTCACTCATATTTCTATTTGTCTTTCTTTTGTTTTAAGAATAGTTAACTTCAATGTATATGAATTGGTTGCTCAAATGTATTGCTGGATTCATGAAAACTGTAGCGGAAGATTGATGATTAAGGGGGGGGTGGGGCTACATTCATTTATTCTTGTTCTATTGTTTTTGTTTCTATTGAAATCAATTGTGATTACGGACTATTTAATACGAATATAAGAATACGTCTCCCTCCCAGGACGTACCAGATATGCACGATAGATTCATTAGCTTTAAGCGAAAATTGAACGTATAGACCACCAGATGATGCTACGAAAGATTATTTATTTTCTTGTGGCAAATAAATGGAGCTCGTTGAATTCCAGCTTCGCGTCATTTCAATTCGTCCGCGATTTGTATGTTCACAAGAATTTGAAACGAACGTTATGTTGCTGAGGACGTTTGCCAAAAAGTGGAATCTTCAATGTAAAACAGTCCCAGTTTTCTCGCACAACCTCCAAACATTGTTGATTAATATTGCTATTCTTGCATATCAAGTGTGAAATGTATAAGTTCTATAATGTAGACAGGAACTTTAAGTTTTCTCTGTCGATTCGAGATATTTATGTGTAAATTTCAACTTGTGAAACGTTACTGTTCTTGCTTGTTGTTTATTATTCTTTTGTTCAGTATCACGTGATCTGACCTTGGTGGTGTGTGTCTGGGAAGCTCCGGCTGTGGAACTCTATTCCAGTCCTTCGTGTCACATGGCAGTGTTCGACATCAATCGCTGGTACCACTCACAGATGCCCCCAAGTGTGAGGTACGGGTATAAATATGATAGAGACATAGATTAAGATACCATAGTTATGTCTATATGTTTATAGATGTAGATCGTCCAGGTTAGTAGAGTCCTGAGAAGGACTGCTGGTGTTGATGTTGAACCACCTTTTTAGACCCACCGAGCTTATGATGGTATTTACCATTGCCAATATATGCTTTTTAAGTTTCTTACCACAACCAAGTCTTGTGTTGTATTATGATTTTTAGATTATATTAAAAAGCTTCTATATTTACCTACTTGCATGAAGTCGTGGTTTGACGTACGAAAAACATGTTATACGAGTTCCTGATGCTCATTTGACAGTAGGGGTGCAGATTTTCTGAGAGGGGTGTATCGTTATCCTAGCCCAAGTTGCATGGGCGTCGGCTATTGCGGATTTTTCGGCCTTAGAGATGAATGAACCTTGCGAAATGAAAGTGTTACCACCTTTTCAAAAATATTTTTTTTACGGAATGCGCATTTAGTAATTTATTTAAATTTTGATGTTTCAATTAAAACGCACATGGTAATACTCAATTGGAAATGGTGGTGGTGTTAAAATATTTCATTTTCTTTGAAGTGAGAAACTCTATCTTTACTTAGTCTTATTGTACAATTTCATAGCCGCTAATACTGTCGTACTAATCGTCTACAATACGTAATACCATTTTAGAATTTTTCTTGCGAGGGGCTAGAAAAGTTTTTTGGGGTTTGCACTTTCCTGCACTCCCCATCAGAAAATCCGCCCTTCGTGGCGCATTAATTTTAGTTTCTACTATGTTTTTATCATGTATAGGGATGCGATGTACGGCAGCAAGGATCCCACGTGTCCTTTCTTATCCGTTTATTCACTCGCTGATGTATTGGATACTGCAACACCGGATGCTCTTGTTGTAAGTGTATGGTTATATGTCCATATTTATCCATATGCATCCATCAGTGCTTTGATTTGTTGCTGCGTCTTATGTTGATTTTACTCTAGCAGTGTTTCACTTCACAGACTGAAAATAAACCATGAATTTTTTATATTACACTTGAATACCTACGTATTTTTCATTTGCTTTGTTTTACTCGCTGTTCGATGGGATGATGTTGAGATCGATGATAAAATCCCAAAAATTTTTGCTCGCTTTGCTCTAATTAAAATTTTATCTTAATTGTTAAAGGTAGATAACATTGCATGTTAGTAGATGTAGATCGTCCAGGTTAGTAAAGTCCTGAGAAAGATTTTTGGTGTCGATGTTGACTGACGTTTTGACAACCTTAGCGGTAGTCATCTTCAGAGTCAAGTGAGTCGAAACGTCAGTCAACATCAACAAAAACAGTGCTTCTCAGGACTCCACTAACCTGGACGATCTACATCTACAAACATGTAACGATACTCTCGGGTTCAAACCATTTACCTTGGTAGATAACATTGGTAAATAAAAATTGTCCTCTAAGTAGCAACTTCTTTTTCTTTGCAAGGATGTGTCTGTTCGGCCGAATGAAATAACAAGATTTTCAACGACTTACGGAGCTCTACCTGAACAATTCTTTTGGGCGTCTTCATTGACATTTGGTAAGTTTTTATTTTAATGAGGTACGACAATGCTATGTCGTTCTACTTGGACAATTTCATTGGTCAAAAACCTTTTATCAGTTGTAATTTTTTGTTTCAATTGCACTCTACCTATTATATTAGACCAAAAGCCTTCTCATTATTTGAACTTGTGATTTCATTTAAAGTCTGTTTTTCAAAGACATAGTTCGTCACAATTATATAGATGCAATTCATTTGTCGCAATTCGTTGTAGCTGAGATCATATTGTTAAAATATTGTTGTATTTTGTCGGCGATATCGCTTTAAAAAAATCCAACTGACGAAAGACTGCTAAAAGATGATTTCAATTTTCATACATCAGATTGTTCATGTGGAATAAATAAAACAAATAGCGACAGCTGGGGGCTTTTCATACATCAGATTGTTCATGTGGTTTAAATAAAACAAATAGCGACAGCTGGGGGCCTTTCATACATCAGATTGTTCATTTGGAATAAAGAAAACAAATAGCGACAGCTGGGGGCCTTTCATACATCAGATTGTTCATGTGGTTTAAATAAAACAAATAGCGACAGCTGGGGGCTTTTCATACATCAGATTGTTCATGTGGAATAAATAAAACAAATAGTGACAACTGGGGGCTTTTCATAAATTAGATTGTTTGTGTGGAATAAATAAAACAAATAGCTACAGCTTGGGGCTTTTCAAGCATCTAAGTCTAGTACCTTTTTTTTAAGGGAGAAGACCCTAAAATATTTTGCAACCGACGTTTGTACGTAGTTTATTATTTTGCGTTGCTTTTCACGAGTTTCAATTTGAACGACAAATACACAAGAAAGAAATTGTAGTTCATTTTAAACCTTTTATGCGAGTTCAGCATGTTTGAAATTAAATATTTGAGTATGCATGTGTGTATATATGTTTGTTATGTAATATTTTAACTGTGTCGTTATATTTGCATCAGCTGCAACTCCTTTGACGCAATGTGAAAATATTATGGAGGATGAGTGAATTTGAAAACTCTATAAAATAACAAAAAACGCTAACGCTGATTGCTCTATAACTGTGCGTGCATTAGCCTGTGGAAAACAATCAAATCGATCGATCAATCAATCAATCCATCAATCAATCAATCAATCAATCAATCAATCATACAATCAATCAATCAATGAGAATTTGCAAATCAATCATGAATTTATTTTAAAAGAAAAGTTGAAACGTGTGTGTTAAGTTTGTTTCGCATTATTGTTATTTTTTAAAAGAAATAAAAGATTTTTTCGTGTTTCCACAGGCTTATGCAAACCTCAGAGACATTTGTAAGGACTCTCGAGCTCTTGAGCATGTGCACAACCTTCGGTCTTGGGCTTGCACTGATCTGCTCTTGAGTTCTCCCAAAGGTCTCCTCGGTTTGCATAAGCCTGTGCAAACACAGTAAACATCTTGTAGAAGCTTGATTATTCACTATTGTATAACGGTAATAAAAGCTTGCTTGAAAATATCCCCGGATGTAGTGAATTACGACGAAAGATGCATGTCACGTGAATTATGAAAACGATATATTCGATATTTAATTTTAACTGTTTTTCAATTTTATCATACGAAAATTTGTTTTTCCTAATGCTAATTTTGCAATGTGATGTCATAACGATGTCGTTTGCATATTGAAGAAAAGTTACATATCTCCAAAAAGAAAAAAATATTAAAACTCTAGTAAAGAAGCTATTAAGCCATTTTAAATTGCCTTTACAATGCAATCAAAAAACACTATGGTAAGATTTGGTATCATAAATACTTCAATTGAACGCAATGTTCAAAAGATGAGTAATGTTGAGTTAAACTGGAAATTAAACAATCAAGTTGTATGATCTTATTTACCAATTATCCAGCACCACTTATCCAGCACCACTTATCCAGCACCATTTATCCAGCACCATTTATCCAGCACCATTTATCCAGCACCATTTATCCAGCACCATTTATCCAGCACCATTTATCCAGCACCATTTATCCAGCACCACTTATCCAGCACCATTTATCCAGCACCACTTATCCAGCACCAAAACATTGACAAGTTGCGTTTTTCGTTGTTTGTTGATCCTTTGTTAATCCACGATTTAGATGTCGCGTGCTTGATGGAGACGGGCGTAGTCAGTGCTTGCTTTTATGGAGCGCAGTTACAAGTAAGGCAGACTTTAGTTCTACATGTAACAGTTGTTGAAAATTTTCATTTTCATCTGGTCACCATTTTTATTTTGCCCTGATGTGCCGAATTTTTTCTGCTTGCTTATACACTAAATTTCCAAATATAATGAATACACTAATACCGGTGTCACAGTGATTTAAGTATCTCCGTGTTTTGGGTTGTCACAGTGATTTAAGTATCTCCGTGTTTTGGGTATCCCCGTACTTAAATCACTAGTGTTCTGGGCATCCCCAGGAAATATGGCTTCCGTGTTTTAAGTATCCCTACCTGACCACCCAATGTTCACAAATCACTAGTGATAAAGGTCTCCCTATATTCTTGTTCCATTACTACGCTCATTTGAGGGGTTTCCCTTCAATGGATTTCCATTGACTTACCTGGAACAGCAATAATGTTGTATTTTTAGAGGCGTAAAATAGTCTGAGTAATACTGACTTATATTATAAGTAAAGATATTATTACAAAATTTGAACGATTTCGCAAAAGTTAGTTATATTTATCCTTCTAAATGCTAATTTCAGTTAACCATTATAAATAATCAAGTTCTAATATTTATCCTGTGGATTGGCTACCAATTTTTATTATAAGCTATGTTTGGATGAATTAACACAAAAAGTGTTAAAATTTAACACAGTTAAATTACAATTCTATTGAATAATATACGCGTTTAAATTACATCGCTATACTGCCCATACATAATCGAAGTGTGGAAATCGCCACGACAAAATCATATTTCAATGAAAGTTTATTTGAAGCAATTCATGTGTAATTTAAAAAAAGATGGCATATGAGTACGACAAAAAGTTTACCAAGTAAAAGCTTCTCGTCAAATTTCATTTTGATAGTTCTATTACACATTTCCGCTTGAAAAATATCGATTTTCGGTTAAAGCTGCTGCGCAAGCTCTAATATTCTCGGGGTTTTAGGTATTCCCACTGGGGATGCCCAGAAAACTATTGATTTAAGCACCGGGATGGTGAGAAAGTGGTGGGAGTTAACACAAATTTCAGTCTATATTGACACTGTATGTGTAAATACTAAGTTGTAGATACACACCTTTCACGTAAATTTACACCAAACAAGAAAATTATACCATTCACACCAAACTAGTGAAATATACGTTTTACACCTAACCACGGTTTAACTCACACTTTGGTACGTTTTACACCCAACCAGGGTTGAACTCACACTTTGGTACGTTTTACACCCAACCAGGGTTGAACTCACACTTTGGCACGTTTTACACCTATCCAGGGTTGAACTCACACTTTGGTACGTTTTATACCTATCCAGGGTTGAACTCACACTTTGGTACGTTTTACACCTAACCAGGGTTTAACTCACACTTTGGTACGTTTTACAACTATCCAGGGTTGAACTCACACTTTGGTACGTTTTACACCTATCCAGGGTTGAACTCACACTTTGGTACGTTTTACACCCAACCAGGGTTGAACTCACACTTTGGTACGTTTTACACCTAACCAGGGTTGAACTCACACTTTGGTGCGTTTTACACCCAACCAGGGTTGAACTCACACTTTGGTACGTTTTACACCTAACCAGGGTTGAACTCACACTTTGGTACGTTTTACACCTAACCAGGGTTGAACTCACACTTTGGTACGTTTTACACCTAACCAGGGTTGAACTCACACTTTGGCACGTTTTACACCTAACCAGGGTTGAACTCACACTTTGGTACGTTTTACACCTAACCAGGGTTGAACTCACACTTTGGTACGTTTTACACCCAACCAGGGTTGAACTCACACTTTGGTACATTTTACACCTAACCAGGGTTGAACTCACACTTTGGTACGTTTTACAACTATCCAGGGTTGAACTCACACTTTGGTACGTTTTACACCTATCCAGGGTTGAACTCACACTTTGGTACGTTTTACACCTATCCAGGGTTGAACTCACACTTTGGCACGTTTTACAACTATCCAGAGTTGAACTCACACTTTGGTACGTTTTACACCTAACCAGGGTTGAACTCACACTTTGGCACGTTTTACACCTAACCAGGGTTGAACTCACACTTTGGTACGTTTTACATCTATCCAGGGTTGAACTCACACTTTGGTACGTTTTACACCTATCCAGGGTTGAACTCACACTTTGGTACGTTTTACACCTATCCAGGGTTGAACTCACACTTTGGCACGTTTTACACCTATCCAGTGTTGAACTCACACTTTGGCACGTTTTACACCTATCCAGGGTTGAACTCACACTTTGGTACGTTTTACACCTAACCACGGTTGAACTCACACTTTGGTACGTTTTACACCTATCCAGGGTTGAACTCACACTTTGGTACGTTTTACACCTATCCAGGGTTGAACTCACACTTTGGCACGTTTTACAACTATCCAGAGTTGAACTCACACTTTAGTACGTTTTACACCTAACCAGGGTTGAACTCACACTTTGGTACGTTTTACACCTAACCAGGATTGAACTCACACTCTGGTACGTTTTACACCTAACCAGGGTTGAACTCACACTTTGGTGCGTTTTACACCTAACCAGGGTTGAACTCACACTTTGGCACGTTTTACACCTAACCAGGGTTGAACTCACACTTTGGTACGTTTTACACCTAACCAGGGTTGAACTCACACTTTGGTACGTTTTACACCTATCCAGGGTTGAACTCACACTTTGGCACGTTTTACAACTATCCAGAGTTGAACTCACACTTTAGCACGTTTTACACCTAACCAGGGTTGAACTCACACTTTGGTACGTTTTACACCTAACCAGGATTGAACTCACACTCTGGTACGTTTTACACCTAACCAGGGTTGAACTCACACTTTGGAACGTTTTACACCTAACCAGGGTTGAACTCACACTTTGGTACGTTTTACACCTAACCAGGGTTGAACTCACACTTTGGTACGTTTTACACCTAACCAGGGTTGAACTCACACTTTGGTACATTTTACACCTAACCAGGGTTGAACTCACACTTTGGTGCGTTTTACACCTAACCAAGGTTGAACTCACACTTTGGTACGTTTTACACCTAACCAAGGTTGAACTCACACTTTGGTACGTTTTACACCTAACCAAGGTTGAACTCACACTTTGGTACATTTTACACCTAACCAGGGCTGGACTCACACTTTGGTACGTTTTACACCTAACCAGGGTTGAACTCACACTTTGGTACGTTTTACACCTAACCAGGGTTGAACTCACACTTTGGTACGTTTTACACCTAACCAGGTTTGAACTCACACTTTGGTACGTTTTACACCTATCCAGGGTTGAACTCACACTTTGGTACGTTTTACACCTATCCAGGTTTGAACTCACACTTTGGTACGTTTTACACCTAACCAAGGTTGAACTCACACTTTGGTACGTTTTACACCTAACCAGGGTTGAACTCACACTTTTGTACATTTTACACCTAACCAGGGTTGAACTCACACTTTGGTGCGTTTTACACCTAACCAAGGTTGAACTCACACTTTGGTACGTTTTACACCTAACCAAGGTTGAACTCACACTTTGGTACGTTTTACACCTAACCAGGGTTGAACTCACACTTTGGTACATTTTACACCTAACCAGGGTTGAACTCACACTTTGGTACGTTTTACACCTAACCACTGTTGAACTCACACTTTGGTACGTTTTACACCTAACCAAGGTTGAACTCACACTTTGGTACGTTTTACACCTAACCAGGGTTGAACTCACACTTTGGTACATTTTACACCTAACCAGGGTTGAACTCACACTTTGGTACGTTTTACACCTAACCAGGTTTGAACTCACACTTTGGTACGTTTTACACCTAACCAGGGTTGAACTCACACTTTGGTACGTTTTACACCTAACCAGGGTTGAACTCACACTTTGGTACGTTTTACACCTAACCAGGGTTGAACTCACACTTTGATACGTGTAAATTGTTTGTTTACACGAAAGTTGTTTGTTTGCGCTTATACGGTGTATGCTGTAAACTTTGAAATTTAGAATAATAAACTGTAAAACAAGGAATGAATTAAGAAATGTTTCAACATAAAAGCAAAAACTTTGTTCAAAGATTGATCGAAAAAATTTATGCAATGTGAAATTCGATTTGAAATTTGTTTTTACTCTGGTTGTTGTCCAGTGTTTTTCATTTTTCATATTTTATCGTCATTCAGCTTGTTGTTGTTAATCGCAACCATTGTCGTTTCAAAGTTTGATTGCTTTTCAACAAGTAGTAGTCTCCTCCCTTCAAATCTATCAAACATTAGTAGTATAATACTATTATTATATTGCAAATGCTTTAATTTGATTGGCTACTGTACTCGCTATTTAATTTTGGATAGATAGCGAGTAGCCAAATGGCTGTTGACCCTGCCGTGTTGTGTTGTACTCAGGTTTCTGACCATAAAAGGCAATATAGTATTTGTAATTACTTCAAAAGGTAATTCTAGAGAAAAACCCCAAAGTTACCATTAAGTACAATGTATTTAATGGTAAATACGATATTTAAAGGTAAAATTAACAAAATTCAATTAAAATAGCCAAATCATGCAATGAGCAAGAGTCGTTTTTTTTTTTAATATAGACAATGTCAAACTTAACAATTACATAAAACAACAAATGAGGAAGAATTCTAGAAACCCTTTTCTCTGAACCTTAGCATGATTTTAGTAAAACCACCAGATTACTCGCTCTCGATTTCCATAATGCGATAGTTGATTTGGTGGACTTCACTCTCATCAACTATCAACTCATAGAAGACTCGACATTGTTGTCTAGTTGTTATTTCTAACCTTTAGCCATTTGGTCAATCTTGTTTTCTTTCTTCATTTCGAAGGTTTTGAATGATCTAAAGAGAGAAGGGATCAACGCTTTGAACGATGCCTACGAATATTTCCATAGATGTTGGACAGCCAGTTTGATGCCGAAGAACTTCGACTTCTCTCGTGCTCAGGAAAAGACGGTGAGTACAGCTTACCGCGTCTTGTTTGGCTAAAGGAATTTAAATACGAATCAATGGTCCACTCTTACGGATAAAACTGCAAAAATACCTCACTTTTATGTTGATTTGGATTTTTTTCTGAAAATAAACGAAGAAATAAAATGAAGAAATATTATCCTAAAGAAGACAATCTTTGTATTGCTTTGATTTGACACTTCATTAACGCGCTGTTAGTCTCAATCATGTCGAAATAACTCATATACTGTCAAATACCATGTCTTGAACAACCGTGAAGATTGACATTTGTCTCATCTCTTCAGTTTCAAGTTGAAGGCCTGTTGTCCGTCGCTTTGGAGCACAATCTGACCTCGTTTATTATATCTTGTATTCAAGAACTTGGCGAAGATAGTAAGTGAAAACTTATTTCAGATAAAAAATTCAGCATGTTCATAATCAATGTTACTCTCTGACGATTTATTGCGAGAATCGACCACTTAGACAAAATACACGAAGAATTTGTAAATGCGTGTTTCAGTTTCGTTGTATTATAGTTTTGCGTTGATATAATTTCTCACCACCACACCCCTCACCGCCTCGACCCCACACCACATCATCCCACCCCCGCGGTTTCTTGCAAAACATGGTTTCATATTGTATGTATTCCACCATAACTTAATTTTATTTTAATTACAGTGGAAAATTTACGAATCATGATAAGCTTTCCTCACCTCACACATATCTTTACAGATATCACGTACGCTGGATGCAATTTACGTGTCATCTTGGAGTGGGCCTGGGATCAAGTGATCCAAATGAAGCATCACCTGGATCAGTTGTGTACGTAAGAAGGGACAGATCCGCGATGATTTTGTAAGGGGGGGCTACTCTATCTTTTATAAGGAATCGTTTGGTCAGTCTACTTTGGATCAGATTTTGGTTGCTCCTTTGTGGGTGTCGTTATGTCATTCACATGTCAGACTTTGTGGGTTCAACTTGAGACCGCAGAAAATGTGTAGTTCGACAGTTGTTTTTTGCTTAATTGGTTGGTATATTAATATTTCGTTGCGAATTTTGCACCCCGCCACTCGCGGCACTTCATCTCTAAATCCACCCCTGTGCGTAAGACGATGAGGGGTTCCATTAAAGACAAAACGCGGGAAATTTCGCAGTGTTTAATGTCATTTTACGTGATAAAAAACATATTCCAAAAACGTCTTCTTGTAAACTGAAGATTCAAGTTATATTAACAAGAGAGAGAATTTATGAGCAAAATTGTGAACTTATTTCAAAGTCATTATCAAGCCAAGCGATTATATGCAAACAAGCATGATCCTTAAATAGTTGTCACAGGGAAATGAAGTGAGCAAAGAAAAGAAAGTTGAAATTTTACTAATACAAGTAGATGAAGAGATTAAGGAAAATGACCTGTTCTTTAGAAGCTTTAAAACCGGAGTTCAGTGGACGCTTCTTGAAACGTATATAAAACGCCTCAAAAGCAAGAAATTAGGATTTTTATAATGAAGACTGTGTTAAGTTTTATTTTGGAATATGATCACAAGTAGAAAAGTGATGTGGCGAATTTAGTTCATCATGCTTGCGTTATACAACTGATATAAGTTGAAAAATGTATGTGTTGTGTTGTGCTGTGTATCATGGCCTTTACTAAATGATCACATAAGTTGAATGTTTACAAGATGATGATATTCGGAGTACGTTTGCTTTCATATCTCTTCGGCTCAAGAAGTTTTTTACCTGATAATTGATAATTCAAGCAACCTTACTCAAACGAATTCGCATCTTTTATTTACGAATTTACGGAAAGCGACGCTCATTGTTCTAGTTAAAAAAGCAACAACTGTAAAAGGTCTTTTTTCCAGGTGTACCTTTGTTTGATGGTACGGGTATATTTGTGGATAATCAACTTGTCGCCATCTTGGATCATTACAGTGTACAGCTGAATAATCTCGTTGATATCTTTGAAACTTTGTCTTCTGCCGCGCTAACAACGGAACAAGGTTTGAGAAACCATTACATAGCCGAGCCCAGGTCATAGACCCGTTCTTCTCATATGTGTTTGTGCAATATTGAAAGAAAATATGCAATATTGAGCTGTCGCATAAATTCTACTTCTTAATTAACTTTGTAATTGCTATTCGCAAACATCTTATGTGACAGGCTATCGCGAAATGTTTTATTTACTGCTTGGTTGTGTATCTTTCGTAAATTTTGCTTGTAGTTTTATCTACTATAAGGGATGAAAATTTTGTAAGTGATTGTATCAGAACAGAGTGGCAAGCCGTTCGTGTGAGCTTGAATAAAGTACTATATAATTTATGCGACGACTCAAACGTTTGTGACGTATGTGAGGGTAATAATGCAAAGACCCATGGGACTACATAACCGAGCATATGCTGCGAATGATTTATAAACTTAACTTTTTGAGACGAAGTCGGCACGAATGTAAGCCGACAAATTTCAAGACAAAAATAGATAACATCAATAAGTGCTTTAACATCAAACGAGATCGATGTGATAAAATAGTATCAAACCAATGCTTTCTCTCTTCTACTTTTCAATTATCCTTTCAAATATGTTATACCTGTGTTTGTGTTAACAGTTTATTGAATATTTTTCCGCAGGTGTAAAGGAACTTGAGTCACAGCATACTGTGTGCTTTCTATTAAACCAGGTAGTCAAAATTCGTAAATACTGTAATTAAAACTCTGAAATTAAGAAAGTGAAAGTACGTTTACATTGTGGTTGATTCAGAATTTAGAGTAGGCCAAAATCTTAGCCGACCACATAAGCCTTGAGTCCCTTGACCGCCTTGTTTGTTACAGTTTTTTTGGCTTGTCAACAGTTAAGTTATAAGATTCCATCTCTATTCTTGACTTTTGCAGTATCTTCGGGTCGTGTTGTTCTTTGTAAAACAAAGACTTTTACCTGAGCTGTTTGGTGAGTATTTATGTAACTGAAATTTTTCCAATATATGATTCCCTGGTTTAAATTGACTATTTTAACGGAATTTTCATAAAGTGCTTATAATTCCACTTAAGAACTGCGTTTTCGAATATCAAACAATTATTAGATGGGGTTGAGCATGATATCAAAAATAATTTAGACCGAGATCAATGTTAGCTATCTGTCTAAGCGAAGCTGAAGCAGATGACATTGACCAAGGTCTGAATTATTCTTGATATCATGCGAAAGCCGAGTTCAATAATTGTTTGATTATTCACTTTAACGAACTGAAATATTATAGAAATATATCAATATAAAACATTTCTCAAGCCCTTCGCAAATTTGTTTTTTCAGACGGTTTATTCAAGTTCTTTTGTTTTAGATATGTTGTAAATATTCTCAAAGCCAGCTTCGCCGCTTTTTTTTGTTTTCTGCATCCTTTTTGTTTGAATGCTATTGTCGTTTTTAGAAACTGTGGCTAACATCGATATTATATGTGATTTTTTTCAAAAAGTATCGTAGTAATTTTTATAATAAGTGTATATTATAATTGGAATTCTTGTGAATTTTACTGTAGACAATAACGAAGAAGGAGAATTAAGGTTAGTTAAGTTAGTTTGTCGATGCTGTGAATAATTCATAGCATTCAAATCAAGAATAATAATTTTTCATTGGTTAATATTGATGGTTCAACATACTTGTACATGAGGATCATCAGCGTCAGGGCAGTCATAAGAAAGGACTGTCAATATTATACACAAACAATCTTTCTCAGGACTGCAACATAACATGGACGATTCTCATCTTCAAACATGTACGATTCTCATCTACAAACATGTACGATACACTTTCAAGCTCAAACTATTTATGGTTTTGATAACTTTCAACTTTCATTCGTAAACCTTTACCTCATTATTATTAGCTTATACTCCATAGAGTTTTCTCGCGCATCAATCGTCGTTTATAACCACATAATAAAGTTTTACTTTCATTTACGTCATACATTTTCTGATTTTTATAATGTTTATTTAGTTCCCAGTACTATCCGGGCGATGCTCTTTTGCGGGAGTACGCCACCCGAAGAAAGGAGTTGAAACAGTGTGATAGGTAGGCTGGATTGCCTATTTTCACCGAAGACAATTTTAATATTTCTGTCGAACTATTGCCTAAATATTTTTTGTTCGTTGTCTTCTCGTTCATGGCTTATATCTCTGTACGTCAGTTTACTACAGGATAAAATATGATTCAAATGATATTTACTTATTGACGTGTGTTGCTGAAAGAATTTCTGTCCTAAAATTCATAAAGTCTTTTTTTTTATTTAGTGATTCTTTAGGAAGTCTGATGATTGACCGCATTTTATCGACAGTATGCGAGAATATGGACGAAAGTCTGTGGACATCTGGAAACCGCTGGCCGGATTTGTACCCTTCGCCAAACTTGCATGTAGGTTTTCAGCAGTGAACTGTAACATTAACTGGAACGCTATCTCCAATATTGGGGCTACAGACCATTTTTAAGCCAGCCAACCTTTTATCTGCGTTTTTAGGTATATTACATAATCTCGTGAGATATAATTTATCATGGCCTTTTGTGCTACTGTATTTTATGTATATCGTTGTTAATTTTATAAAATGATACTATGGAAATTCAGAAAAAGAAGCATCAGTATATCAGTATTGGCTTCAAAGATGACGGTTCTGTTAGCGTTCCAGTTAATATTACAGTTCACTGGTTTTCAGTCGATTGCAGGCAATGTAACAGCTAATTCGCATATCTGGCTTGTTCCGCTTTGTGTCATGATTTTGAATATTTTACAATGTAGTACAAGGTATAGATCGTTTCTCCGAGGGAGTTTTTTTTAATCATTTCTCTGGTGTCATTTCCCTCTCGTATCTCAGCGGTTGTAAACAAATCTAAGTTGTCCAAGTTAAAAGTTTACAATTTGACTTCGAATTTGATGTGTTTTCTCGCGAATTAGGAACACACATCAAATTTGAAGTCGAATTGTAAACTGATTGAAGTGGATTTATCTGCGAATTAAATTGATGTGGTGGTCTGTAAGGATCTTTCAGCTTTAATTTAATGCAAAGGAATGGTCTGGCTTCCTCGTTACAAATTTTATTGCTTTCCAAAAGCAATAAAATACATCAGTGGCGGGCGGATCAATGCTCATTTGCCTGGAGAGAAGCAGATTTTCCAAGGAGATGCATCCCTGTCCTAGCTAAAGTTGCCAAGCCTTGGGCTATTGTAGATTTTTAGGCACACAAATCAGTGAACTTTGCGTAATGAAAATGTTTATGGGAGGGGACGCTAAAGATTTTTTGTGGGATGTGCATCCCCTACACCACTCAGAATATTCACCCCCGAAATAAACGTCCACATTTGTCACTTATGTTTGCGAGAAGATTTTATGTTGGTAGGGGGGAAATAGCTTTCAAATTATATTCATGCAATTTTATGCTTTGAACTTAATTCTACAATTTATCTTACTATTTATTTACTTGATTTCTGTATCTTGTAGGCTTTGTGTAGTTTGATTCTGCAGGAGAAAATTAATCCAACTTCAAAGATTTGTATTGTATCCTTTTTTGTTCTTTGTGAGTGGACGGGGCTGTTGCATGAAAAGCGTACGCCATTTTTAACGTTTTCTTTCAAAAAAATATTTTAAAAACATATGAACGTCAAACAATTCTTGATTCACGACGAAGATATATTATGCTTTGCTCGATCTATGCTCGTTAAATCCGCAATTTCGAACGAAAAAGGTTTGTGACGTGTTATTGACTGAACCTTACTGGATTTGCTTTAAAGCATTGATTAACAATGTGTAAGATTTTGTCAAAATCAGGGGCGAAACTGGAACGTTAATTTGGAGGGTGTATATTCATATATTCAGTTGTGCTCTGCTGCCTTCTTTTAAAAAGAAATCAATAGAGTATAACTGATTTTATGAATATACACCCTCCCCTCCCCTATTAGCGGTCTGGTTTCGCCTCTGATCAAAACTAATTAATGTCATTGACTCTTCATTCATAGTTATTAAGTGCCAAGTGCGTCAATATTTCGACTCGCACGAAATATTATCAGGCAATTTGAAACTTTGTCGTATTAAGAAAAAATTACTACAATTATTGAAAACTTGATGAAATTTATTCTATCAATCTTGATGATATTTTTAACAGCAAACTTCATAAAATTTTTACTGGAGCTTCGTCGTGTAAGCAAAACGTTCTGTCTTCTTCTGTTCTTTTTTTTTGCCCAAAACAACAGGGCTTTCGAAATTAGACAATATTTTGCATGTTGCATATATTTATTTGAAGAGTTGAATCGATTTTGACTTGCATCAGATGATTTTGCATGTTTCGCCGTGCACCCGAGAATTACCGAGTACGTTCTGCTGTTATGCACTGTATATACAACAATCAATGATCTGATCGAAGCGACTACTATCATCTCAGCCCTAGATCTTATTCTTTTTTTCAATAATCCCCATTAATTATGGCGATTTTTGTTCATACGACCAAGTTTTAATTTGCCTATAATGATAAATCGTGTGATTTGAAATATTGACGCATTTGGCACCTCATAATAAGTACTTCTCATCATTTTAAAAATATTTTATTTTGTAATTAGTTTTATGTTAGTATATCATATTTTATTAGAGTATATATCAAATATCGATAACGTTAGTGACGAAAATATATGTTATATTACAATTAAGACATAGAAAACATTTCACGTTATATAAACACGTGGAAATGTTTGGCAAGAAATGAGAAATTCTGTGGGATCTCGAATTCTCTCAAACTTTCACAAGTTTTTCCATAATTCTCATGGAACAAGTAAATATGTTTTCTGTTTCCTTCATGAAATAGTCTTTTAGGAGCAACAATAAAAAGATCATGTTGTTTTTATTTTTGTTTTTAACTTTCCTTCGCAATGAACGAGCATTCAACCAATCTTGCGCACATGTTTTTTTCAAAAACTGTTTTATTATATGCAATATTATTTGTGTTATTATTGTTAGTTTACGTGCTTACCGTGTTGTTCATTAAGGTTGCGGATAAATTTGCTGCTGCCTTTGGACTTCAACCGGTTCTAGTCAAGCTTTTTCATGGATTTTGGTGCTTGGATCACAAAGACTTTGATGTATGTAGAAAATTTAGCTATATCTGCTTTCACGAAATCATCTTCATTGAAAATAATTTGTCATTTACATATAACGTATAAAACAACACGTTCATTACATAATTTTCAATTCATTCCGTTAAACAATTAATGGAGAACGTGTATTGTTGCGTAAATTTGTGTTTCGTTTTTGACTTCATTTTGTCGCTGTGTTTTAAACATATGGGAGCTTCTTGCGCAATCAATGTGTACAAATATTCACAGCTCAGAACACTTGTCTTGTCCAAAATTTGAAGTAGTAAAATTCTTGCACGAAACAGAGAACTTTTCAGGGCTCCAATATTTATCTTCACTAACTATAATAGAAGGTTCACCTTCATCGATCATCTGTTCATCGATCTAGACAATACGAACCTGTCTGAAGTGGTAACTATAAAATACGCCCTATGATTGGTCGATATTGAAGTACCATACGAAACACGCCTTATGATTGGTCGATATTGGTGGACCATATGATATACATCATATAAAAATTTTTCTTGGAACGTTTCACACGCGAGTGTCAGGAATGACACGTATAATGAAACATGATTTACATACTTAACATTTTACCACATGTGAGATTACATTGCCGTGAATTTCGTTGTGCTATTTTGGCAACTATTGCTAAACAGTGGCGTAGCTAGACAAAAACAACTGGTCGTGCTATAGCGAGAACAAACATGAAGTTCCTGTACAGTTGGTGGCAACATAAGTTGTCTGTACATGTTTGTAAATGTAGATCGTCCAGGTTGGTATAGTCCTGAGAAGGACTGTTTTTGTTGTTGTTGACTGACGTTTCGACAACCTTAGCGGTAGTCATCTTCAGAGTCAAATATTATTATATATTTACGGTGAAAATATCTTTCTTTTCTATTTTTAGAATGCGTTGAAAGACCTTATCGCATCTGCCGATCAACTAAACTTGGCCCCTTGGCAAAACTCTCACATCGTTCGTTTGTTTTTGGAGCAAGGTAAACGATTGTCTCTTGGTTGCTTAGTGTTGAACATCCATGCAAAGTTTTAGGTCTTTTTCGTGAAATGTTTTGTGTTTGTTTCTTGATTCATGCATGCGATCGAACTATTGAACTTTAAACATTTCTCATGGCAATCATCGCCGCATGTAAGTAGCAATTTGCTTTCCTTTCCGTTGACTCCCATATGACAGTTAAGTCTGTAGAGGTCGACCTATAGCTCTGCAACTCTCTAACGAGTTTCGGATACTTCGAGAAGCGTAAAACTCTTTATTAGGAACTGTTCGACTTAATGAAATACAAATAAATTCTAGAAAATACCAAAAAAGACTAAATTAATCTAACTAATTACCGAATTTCGCGTTACTAGCCAGAGAAGTTCTCTTTGATCTTGTGCATACGAGAGTTAGGTGGCCAATGTCCGTTCTCTCTCCATCTGACATCACATGAGCTCAATAAACTATGATTGTCATATTTTCATATTCAATTTGAAGAAACGGAACGTTTTAAATCCAACAGTATCTGTGATGTTAATATTTGGCCTTTTAGTATCTGTGATGTTAATTTCCTCGCGACTCATTTGCTATCGATTTTAACATTGGCTCATGATTTCCAACTGATGTAGGTATTTATTCATTTTCAAGGTGAAAGCAAAAGGCACTTCTGTTCATTAATTCAGTGAAGCCTGCGATGATATCTTCAGCGGATGTCGGACTTCATCTGTCTGTTTTGATAAAGAATGGTCTAATTTTCGAGGCGTTTCAATTTCAGGTACGAACAGCCTTCTCAATAAATTCAGATTACCGTCGGTGGAATGGTGTGATACTCGTGACTAGCTACTTTGAAATGTGAGACTCGTTTTGATGGCAGTAAACTTGACTCGTTCATTATCTTGATGATGAATTTGGAAAACGATAAAATCAAGCTTTATTCAGTTAGATAATGTATCAATGTATCGTATTTTTGCTAAACTTGCCGAAATAACCTTGCCGTTAGTTAAGAAAAATGATGTTTACCGTGTTTGCACAGGCTAAAAACCGAGGAGACCTTTAGGAGAACTCGAGAGCTGACCAGTGCAAGCCCGAGACTGAAGTTCGCGTATTGCATTTCCTCGAGAGCTCCGAGGCTTGCATTAGCCAGTTCAAACAAGAAAAGATCTTTTATTTCTTTTATAAAATAATAATGCGAAACAAAAATTTAAATCATGATTGTTTTGCAAATTCTCTTTGATTGATTCATTGATTTGATTGGTTGAGCTCAGATCTGTTTTGCACAGGCTAATGCAAACACAGCTATAGACTAACCAGCGCACGCGATATACTTTGTTTATTTGATGAACGTTAATAAATATATCCATTAAAGGGAATTTCTGATTGAAGAAAAGTGAAAAACACAATTTCATTGTTAGCGTCACTTTGCTTATCTTTTCAGCGCGAATGTCGTGACCCAGTTAGAAGAGAAGAGCTCCTGCACTATTTCTTTATGGGATGTCATGAATGTAAGTACGCTAACAGCTCATACGAGTGATAACAACAAAGTTGTTGTCGGCTTTGGTGAAAATCCAAGCTGTCTGTCTGTTGTTGATCAAATTAACCATAACATGACTTCTCAGATATCTTTATGTTTCTTGCTTTGTTTTATGTTGCTTTTAGGGGGTGCTTGATCATGTTTCCGTTTGTTTTTTGAATTTAGGCAAGAGTATGAACAAGATTTTAAAACTTCCTTTGGGTAAAGTTGAAGAGGTTAGATAAATATGCTGTGTTTGATCCATTTTGCACAACGAGTGTAATTTTATCAGGTGTTAAATTGTTCGCTGAAGCTAGATTTTCGTTTTTCACGTTAACATTTTCATCTTGCCGCGTGGTAATTTACAGCAACATTAAAGCAACCTTCTTTTGCTCACGTTCGCATTTTTTAAGTCATTCATCGCATCTTTTCTCTCTGTGAGAAAACAAAAAGAGTTCGAGTTCTTGAAAATCAGCAGCCATAATCCTCCCACATTCGCGTGTTGCTAATCGATCCAGTAATTTTGCCGCCAATTTTTTTGTTCGACTTTGACACGTCAACATATCATTGGACTGCATTTGGCTCTTGCTTTTGTCGCGTCACGTGTTTTGCCATATTTTTTCTAGGAATATCTCATCAGATTTCTGAATGAGCTACCATTCCCCCACGCGCGTGAACTGCTCGTCATGTTCTACCTTCAGCGAGGATTCTATGTCGAAGCCATTCGCCTTAACGAATTTCTGAAACAGGACTCGATGGTAAGGAATGCTTTGAAAAAGTTGAGATAAATTTTGATGCGAGGAATTCAACACGGAGAATTGTTTCACGATGTTGAGTTTGATACCTAGAACCATCCAACCGTAGTTAAACAAATTTTTTAATTGTTTTTTAATGTGATTAGTCTAGCCATCACTAAGAGTCTTGACGAGGGTAAATAAGGCAAACTAAGGTTTGATAGTTATTGATAATACGCGTTACCCAAATTAAATAATTATTTTGTGAGCTATTTCTGTAATTTCATCCATGTGACATCCTCACTTAACCTCGGATGTACTCGATTTAACTTTTTTTGAGATAATCTTGTGAGCCTGCTATATGCTTGCCAGCGGTGTGGTCTCTTCATACTTGTGTAAAGACAGACAGACATACGTGTTTACAACTTTGCATTTTCTTCGGTAGTTATTGTAAAAATTTGCTATGTGCAGATATGTATGTTAGGTAATATACTTTTTCAAAGGTTTATATTTAATTGGCACTGAAGTAACAATTCTTTGCAGCAATTGTTTGTAGCTAGTGAAGTTTAATGACATTTTGAATTTTGTGAAAGAATCAAAAAGATCTCAAAATGTCGTAGAATACAACAATTAGAAAATTCTGTCCTTCTTCAACTGTCAAGATGTTCATAATTTTCGAAGCCTAATCTTAGTACAAATGACCGTGATCTTGGAAATTTGAACTAGCTGACAACAATGAAACGTCGAACAAAAGGATATCACATGGCTTTTTATCCAGTACATCTTTGTCACTTTATCATGTATTTACCTTATGTATTTCTTCTGTTTTAGAGTGAATGCGATATAGCTGCCCAGCAGAGAGCTACCGTGAGAAACGTCATATTACAAAAATATTTCGACCTGCTGCCGAGGTTCAACAGGATCTTGCCATGAGGCGGAATGCACCCGAGAGAAAAAAGACAACACAACACATTGAAGGTTTGATTTACAAAGTTCATGCTGATACATTGTAAAGGTTTTCCATTCTCATGAATTGCAACGAATGGATGTCCATTCTAGACACGTAGATTTATCAAACCATGCTATCGGTATGACTATACTCGTCTGTTTTTTACCAAATTCTGTCTTCTGTCAGCTGAGATAGAACACACCCTGTTCTGAACTTTGTAACTGTATAAAGCAGGTGGGGATTTCAGGCTCATCAGACAAAATCTAGAAAAGTTAGCGTGCATTGCCACACTGCATGCATGCTATGCGTGGGACAAAAATTCACCCTAACTTATTTCCCGCCTAAAATACCGTCCACTTTCATGCATACCTACAACTCTTCGGCTCTCCCGCCATTTGTAGTTACCGCCATAAAAATATCGAGAGACTTGTATCATAAATCCTTTATCTCGACATTGCTAGTATCTCAAAACCATTTTCTCTACACTAGGAGTAGCGACATTTGATATGAATTATCCTTTAAATATGTTCACTTCACCTTTCTAGTACCTCGACCCAGGCCTCTCTCGACTGTCGTGAAACATCAGATGAATCCTCGTCTCGTATATCGGACTGCGGTGATCAATGCAACGTTAGAAAAGATCGCCGAAGCTAGGTAGTAATAAATTATTTATGCAAAATCTATTTCACATCGCTCTATACAAACTTGTTTGAAAATATCACGACAATGCACTAAACAGGCGTTTTATTGGAGCAATCATGGGCGTACAGGCCAGCGTTTTCAGGGGGATGGTGGGTACATTTTTAATCTTTATCGACGTAATTTACACAACTTTCCACCTCCCTCTGCCGCCTAAACGCCCATGGGGGCAATGCAACGTCCATGGTCTTTAACTGTTTTGCTTTGTTTGTAAAGTTATTCGATCTACCTTAAATTCGTGTACATTTAATTTTAGAAATTGTGATGTGCATGAATCGCCTCAGGAAGTTTTGTCACAGGAAGCCCCGTTCACTGGCACTCCTTCAGCAAAGACGAAAAAACTCTTGTTAAGGTCTGTGTGTTGCGTTGGAATATGCACCAGTGACGATTCACTGAATAACATCCGAGGTGGCACGACCATATACGCAAATTTTTTACTAGATTTGGTCGGATAAGCTTAAACGCTTAGAACTTTTCAATTTTATAAAGCAGGTAGAGAGTTTGAACTCATCAGACCAAATCTAGTAAATGAAAACTGCGTATTTGGCCACACTGATATAAGGAGCACTGTCGGATCGAAACAGAGTTTTATTTCCATCCGACTTTTACCGCTAAGGTTGTCGAAACGTCAGTCAACAACAACAAAAACAGTCCTTCTCAGGACTATACCAATCTGGACGATCATCATTTACAAACATGTAACGATACTCCCGGGCTCAAACCATTTACTTTATAAGGAGCACTGTCGGATCGAAACAGAGTTTTATTTCCATCCGACTTTTCATACTGACGGATCCGACTGCCGAAGGCTCACTTTGTATCGCTCACTATCAAAACACGATCCGGTTTTTAATCCGACCAAATCGGATACGACAAATCTGATCGTGTGAACGGGCCATGAATAACAGTTGAAAGGCTCGATAAGTCCAAATTTTAAACATATATATGTTTTTATTCCAATTTATGGATATCTAATATTTTAGTGATATCCATTCTGTCAGCTTCCCCAAGCTTGAAAGTGAAGAGTCGACGATGCTTCCATCTGAGTCTAAGGTAAATGAACAACGCTATTTTTAGAATTTTTGTTAAAGTCGTATTCCAAGTAAGCGGAAAATACAGAAGGCTTTGAACATCTCGCTTTTATTTCAAATCCGTTATGCTTGTGGTAATATTTGGGGAAAACTCTCAGGCAATCTATTTGTCGATAAAATAAAGCATTTTGCTATCTGTCATTCATATTCTGTTTCTGTGGACGTTTTCACTTTTTACACATTAATAACTTTGTATGTATCCTGTATTTTTTTAAATTTATGTTGTTAGATGTTTACAAAAATATCACTGCCAGAGATAGACCGGAAGTTGTTGACAAAACAACGGAACCGGAGTTGTTTTGACCTCAACTCTATCTATAGGAGAATAGATCAAAATCATGTCTGCTGCACAGCACTAAGTTAAGCACGTGTATTACACATGTATAACTTGTGTTACATTGGTGTTTCACACATGTACTTATATTAGTTACATTAATGTGTAACACACGTGGTACAATAATGTTTTACACAGTGGGTTACATTTCTCTCACTCATTTTTCACTTGGTTTACACTAATGTGTTTAAATTAATGTGTTGCACATGTTTTACATGCGTTGCAATATATTAAATATGTGTCAAACACGATGATAACCTTTCATATTTCAGATGGTGAACTGTGTTTGCATTTTGTCGATATTTTTTCTTATTTCTTAGAATCAACCAACTCCAGCTACCCAACTAGATACGATAATAATCAGCCCCATGGCATCTCGTCTTAGGATAGACAGGCATGTTTACGTATTTGTTTGTGAGGTTCTTTTCTTAAAGCACGTGACCAGCTCATGATTTGTCATCTAAACGATTTTCATTTCAGGGCGCGAAAACTCTTCAAGGGAGCTAATGCATTATCACTCCTTCAAACACCTCCAGTTACCAAGGTATTCATACAATATCATGCATTATCACTCCTTAAAACACCTCCAGTTACCAAGGTATTCATACAATATCATTCATTATCACTCCTTCAAACACCTCCAGTTACCAAGGTATTCATACAATATCATTTATTATCACTCCTTCAAACACCTCCAGTTACCAAGGTATTCATACAATATCATGCATTATCACTCCTTCAAACACCTCCAGTTACTAAGGTATTCATACAATATCATTTATTATCACTTCTTCAAACACCTCCAGTTACCAAGGTATTCATACAATATCATGCATTATCACTCCTTCAAACACCTCCAGTTACCAAGGTATTCATACAATATCATGCATTATCACTCCTTCACCTCCAGTTACCAAGGTATTCATACAATATCATGCATTATCACTCCTTCAAACACCTCCAGTTACCAAGGTATTCATACAATATCATGCATTATCAGTCCTTCAAACACCTCCAGTTACCAAGGTATTCATACAATATCATGCATTATCACTCCTTCAAACACCTCCAGTTACCAAGGTATTCATACAATATCATGCATTATCACTCCTTCAAACACCTCCAGTTACCAAGGTATTCATTCAATATCATGCATTATCACTTCTTCAAACACCTCCAGTTACCAAGGTATTCATTCAATATCATGCATTATCACTCCTCAAACACCTCCAGTTACCAAGGTATTCATTCAATATCATGCATTATCACTCCTTCAAACACCTCCAGTTACCAAGGTATTCATACAATATCATGCATTATCACTCCTTCAAACACCTCCAGTTACCAAGGTATTCATACAATATCATGCATTATCACTCCTTCAAACACCTCCAGTTACCAAGGTATTCATTCAATATCATGCATTATCACTCCTTCAAACACCTCCAGTTACCAAGGTATTCATTCAATATCATGCATTATCACTCCTTCAAACACCTCCAGTTACCAAGGTATTCATACAATATCATGCATTATCACTCCTTCAAACACCTCCAGTTACCAAGGTATTCATTCAATATCATGCATTATCACTCCTTCAAACACCTCCAGTTACCAAGGTATTCATTCAATATCATGCATTATCACTCCTTCAAACACCTCCAGTTACCAAGGTATTCATTCAATATCATGCATTATCACTCCTTCAAACACCTCCAGTTACAAAGGTATTCATTCAATATCAAGCATAATCAATCTTTCAAACACCTCCAGTTACCAAGGTATTCATTCAATATCAAGCATAATCAATCTTTCAAACACCTCCAGTTACCAAGGTATTCATTCAATATCAAGCATAATCAATCTTTCAAACACCAACAGTTACCAAGCTATTGCTTCATTATCGTGATCATTGCGAGTGTTTGTAAATTTACCTTACTAGACAGAAACAGATGCAGTGACAATTAGACGACGTAGTGACAAATTTTAATTCAGTGTGCTACAAGCTCGAAAAAAAGCGATGAAATTATAAAAGCGCGCAATGCATCGTGGTTGACACACATTCTTAACACATTTATAGTTCTGACATCACTGTTTACGTTTTAAAAAGTCGAACTTTTTCCAAGCCCCAATCCTAATTCTAACTCGGAGACTCTTCTTGTATTCCATTGTTTTCGTTGATGAAAGTTGAAAGATTGAATCGATTTGGGGGAAGAAAATTTATTCATCAAAAATTGACGAGACCTGCTTCTTGATTGTATAATTGATTTCTTTTTGTCGCTAGCCGGGAAAAATGCATTTAGGAAAAAATTACTTAATTCCTCTGCACGGTCTGAAATGGTAGTGCAATATAGACGCGCAAATCTAACTCCTTAAAACTTGGTTTGTAAATATTGACAACAGTTTAGCTTAAAACACGTATGCGATCTAACATCTCACACTTCTGGCCGATTTTTCTACTCGAGATATGTGCACCAATGACCTAGAACTTGATCTACTAGAGATCTGACTTCGCCAAAATTCTGAAAGGTCGTAAAACTGAATACATTTATGATTAATATCTGCTTTTCCTCAGTTGTAAAGTTTAGGTTTAATTTTTAAAATGTTTGATAGGACTGGGTTTTTGAACGTCCTTTGCTGGACTCCGCTACGCAAACTTTCACGCACATCCTACACGAATGATGACTCCGTAAAAAACCTGAAGATCAAGTGCCGTATATCTAAGCACTTTCATTGTAGAATATGCGCGAACATATTCAAATGACAAGACATGTATTGATCTCTCTTCAAGTGTTTCGATTCTTTGTGATTTTGTCTTGTTCTGTGCTATAAACTCTTCATAAAATTATCACAATATGAGTTGACGTTTACCAACATGCTTGTATTTTGTAAAACTGGAACATTTTTCACCATTGTTGTACTACATCACAGGCCTGTATATATATACATGTTTTCCTTTGATTTCTTCATATTGTCATGTGGCATCATTGGTTAATGATGAGGCTCTAAGAAACATATATTATTGTTTTGCTTTATTTGCGATGAGCCTCGAGAGCTAGTTGTCATAGAACGGCAAACCTGATTTTCCTTTCAGCATTTGTCTTTTGCTGCGACACCTAAAGTTCAGAGCTCTACGCGACCAGTTGCAACGCCGCATTCCATTTTGAAGGTACCCAGTCATTCATGTTATTCTCATGAAGTGGTTGTGAAACAAAATATTATCATGCGGTTTTCTGAGTGTGTTGTACAGAACATTTGAAATGACTTTACATTTTCAAAAATAGATTTGTATTAATTTACTTATTTCTAGAAATATTTAACTTTATTAATTACGCAAATAAGGTCACATTACATAATAATATTTCGAAGACCATTAATTTTTCGCATCGCGAAAACATTTAATTCGCATATAGCTACAATATTTTAATAAATAAATGAGTAGGTGAAGATGTGTAAAGATGCCAAAGTTAGATACTTCACGACACATTGTCGACAAAAATTTCTATTTTACAAATGCTATTTATATCCTGTAATATCACAGTAATGTTTTTGCATATTTAGTAAATTTAAATAACTCTAGAAAGATGAAAAGTAAGATTATTCTACTGAAGGCGTCATTTACTCCTTTCAAATGGTCTTGGCAATGCAATCATAAAACTGTGGTAAAGAGCAAAAGAAGAAGTAAATAAAACCGCAAATTTTTTCTTGAAAGGAGCTTTGGAGATTGAAAAATGCATTTACAACTGTTATCAAAACACAAACGTGTTTTCAAAACCCAGAAGCATAATTAGTTGGAAGCCATTGAATATCTAATGCATAATCTCGTGCATACTAATTATGGTATTTAAAGTTTTTTTGCTACAACCTGTAGAGCAAAAAAAAAGACAAAAGTCTTGTCGTTTATGCTTAAGATACACATGTGAACTGGACATTAAAAAGCACCTGTTTCATGTTGATTTGACCAATTCCAACTCGTTATATGTCACATTTATAAATCACAATTAACGTGATGGCATTTTGCTCCTTCCCTTAAAACTCCTCTCACCATGGTAATAATCAGTCGTTATCGCATTTTTACAGCCAACGAGGATCGCTCGACGCAGTCCCTCGCCAAGTTTTGTGTCACCAAGTCTGCCGCCACGTGTTCGACGCGTGTTTGGTGACCGTGTGCCTTGGATCGACTCCAGCGCTGGTATGTAATGATGACCATAGATGGAGAAAGAGATCCAGCGCTATTTGTCTCTGTAAACAAAATAGGGAGTGGCTTTCATTGAAATTCATTGTTTTCAAATGTACATTCTGCCTTGCTTCAGTAGTTACGTTTCATAATTGATTGCAATCGATTCTACTACGCAGTTCGTTTTATAAAAAGAAAAGTTTTTAATTAAGATTTAAATAATATACTATTTCTAATGCTATGAGTTTTTAGTTTATTCCAAATTGACGGAGTCGCGTGCTCAAATCGTCGGTCACCAAGAGTTTTTCTCTAGTTTTGGCAATGAAGAGTAGTCTTTAATCACTGCATCTCCGTTGATAGCATGACTTTTGCTTTCCAACAGCATTTCTAACAGTACTATTTGCTAAATTTTGTAATAAGTATAACTATTTTAATATACGTTTGGGTACGAACGGCTGGAGGGTGAATTATGGGTAATGCTGGGTTGGATAGGATTTGAGATGCATTAAGTTTGCTCAGGTTGGAAGATGTTTGGTAGCTTTTCAAGTACATGAAAGTATCTACTCAATCAATGCTTGCTTCACTTCATTTAGATAAAGAAGAAACGCGTCCTTCCACCCAAAAGAAACAGATAAGGCATGTGCTATAGAGACATCCATTCGTTGATTGTTCATAATGTTATATGTGTTATGAACTGTTGTTAGTGTTGTTTAAAGCTATCAAAACTTTGCTCAAATGACAAGCCCGAAATCCCGTTCATTTACTAACCTGTAGCCAAGGTACATTCAGTTGTGCGAGACTGATCTCTTTTGAAAGTGAATTGCTTACTTACGTATGTAAATTTCTTTCAAAAGCAATCTACCTGGCAGAACTGAATAAATGAACGAAACACACCACCCCCTCCCAAATTAACTTATAAGCACAGCCCTGCCTGCAACCAAACACCAGTTTATCCTTGTAATATTGAAGGATAACAGGTCTTTGAACGCGAAAATTAAATAATTGCATTGCGTAGTTAATTTCCTCGTATTGAAAATTGTAATACTTACATAGACGACGTTTCAGTTTTTTTGCTGAACGCATGGATTTACTCAATCCTTTGTCTGTGTGTTTGTATATTTGTTTTTGATTAATTCATTGTTTATTTTTCAGATTTAAAAGTTTATCTCCAGCAAGGTATGTTTTTTACGAGACACTTCATGTATGCATCTATAAAGTTGCCCACGCGTTGGTTATGTTTGAACAGCTGTTTCCCCTTAGTTATGACGTAATCTAAATACAACTAACAGTTTGGGAAACTCAATTTCATAATGAGGAAACACCCATAAAGCGTCATGGTATTTGTACTGATTGTGTGCTAAAAAATTCTCAGCTTACAATGCCCTTACACCCAACTTTAATATTGGCATTATATTGTAAAACAGGCCAGTAGCGGATCTTGGATGCTTCAAAATAAATTACTGCAATACATTTTAGAATATTTATTAAATTTCTAAGCCCCTTAGAGACAAGTACATTAGTAAAAGTACTTTAAATTTGAAATTGACATCCTCAAATTAGCCGCAAACGCAGTTCAAAATAACGGCCGGTCGACGGACAAGGCTTGTTGCCGACACCCCCCTAAAAATCATTCCGGATCCATTCATCCAAAAGTTATTTGGTGAAGTGTAGAAAATATTATTGAAGCTTGGTCTTCTGGGAAAAATCTCTTTATTTAGGTGTGTTAACGTGTGCAAGTTTTAAAGGGCATATGACTCGAAAATTGTGCTGTTTAAATTATATTTTCATTGAAAATCCTAGTATATTTTATAAAACAGTTAATTCATATCACATTTCATTCCCAAGATTTTGTTGTTTACTAGTATCCGCTTTACACAAGTTGTGACGCCACATTACTTAATGAGAATTTGAAATAGCAGATATATTTGCTGACATGTTACTTCAACTGAGCAGAGTTCCCTTCATTGTGAAGAATTAATGGTATAAACAATTGCCCGATCGTTTCAACAAAATGTTGCCTTGAATTTGAAGGACGTTTGAAACTTTGCAGCTACTCATAATGCAAAATGACGTCAAAAGTTGTGTAAATGGAACATTACGAAAACTTCTATATGTTGGAAACGAAAAGAGTCATGCATAAATTGTTTTTGAAAATACACTATCATCATTTTCAAAGTTCTGTTGAATGAAAATATAGTGTAAATAGCGAAATTTTCAAGTCATATGCCCTTTAATATTTGGTAGAATTTGCCATGGTATCAGGGACTGGCAATTCCAGACGAATACCGTTTGGATCTAGGCTCATTTTCTTGTTACCTGTTGTGCCACAGAGTTTCTGTCAAACAAGTTTGCATTTGCTTTGTTTTCTTTGTCAGTCCAAGCATTGAAAATGTGTTCTCTGACGAAGCCTCGTTCACGAAAAGGAACGTTGATGTAATAGCTGAAGAAAGCGACGATTTTATTGAACCTGAGACGAACTTTAGTGGTGAAAATAGCTCGAATAGCGTTTCGGGATCTGGCAATAATGAAGGTATCGTCAATTGTATGAATTTATCTCATATATGCGTTTATAGTGTTCTTGTTGTGGGCAGGTGTCTACAGTAGTTTCTACCTGCAAGTTTGAAGAATATTTATTAATGGTGCTTGACTATCCATTTCTTTAATATTAACGCACGCGCATAAAATGACTTCACTTCCACTTTTCTTATGCAGGCTTTCGGTTCATAGAAAGGTTTTCTGCATCTGATATTCAAAAATATCATTACTTCAAAAAACATGGGCGAACTTATTTGGTTAATTTTTTTCTGTTACAGGTACAAAGCCGCTGGAATCCGTCAGCGCCATTGACGAATCGGACGATGAAGGCGCCGAAAGACTCGAACCTAGTAATGAGAATGACTTTACTTTAGTGTCAGTGAGGACAACGGTAGTGGTATGTTCTGCGCCTACTTCGGTTGCTGAACCGTAATTGTCAATGAGACAATTGTTGGTACTAAAGCAGATTTAATTTGTCGTGGTGAAAACGCCTTATGAAGCGCAATGGTGAATGCTTGAAAACCAAGAGAAACCAAGAACTCTGAAAATAACCGTTTTAGAATTAGAACACTAACCCGAAAGTTCTGAAGACTTCTTCAGGTGTCAACGTCTGCTATCTGTTAAGGGTGAATTAACTTGTATATATATCAGTCGTTTTGATGTTGACTCATCCAGCATAAGGATTAGTCATCATCAAAATAAAGCCAATATGAAAATGAACTGCTTCGGTCGACGAAGGACCTGATCATTAAACGTGATAAATAGCGCCTCCGTTGTTTTTAGAGAAAATTTGCATTTGCATTTGTGTAGGATACGAAATTTTGCATCTCTGCATGCGTATAGGAGGATTTTCATATTTTGTGGGTGGTGCTAAATATTTTAGGGGGTGAGCTAGTAAGAAAGTAATGTAAGACAATGTGAGGTATCTAGAATCTAGGGTGGTCTGATACTGCAGCTATCGAAGGTTGTGTAGAAAGTAGAAATTGTGCCCTGAAAAACTCAGTTCAACCCTTACTTCTGATTTCTTCTTTTGAAATTTCATTTGGGGTAAATGTTTTGTAGAGTAGAAAATAGTTTATTCAGGGAGGGTGTGAAATCTGATGTTTAGGGAGTGGTACCCCCCTGCACCCCCGGTAAATCCGTCCATGTTTGAGACTGACCATATTCCTCCGGCGCTACGGACGATATGTGTGATTTGTGTGGAACAAAAACGTATTTACATCTTTTGCTTTGCATTAAACTAAAGTAAACATTTATTAACACGTTGCGATACATCAATAAAACTTTGGAATACACATTTAAATGAAAGGAAAATCACTAAGGTTCAAACAGATTAATTGATGACTTAAGATGAAAGGTGAAATTCAAGAACACTTAAAGAATTCAATAAAGCAACGCTAAACATTCATTACGAACAAAATAATTGCTTAAAAGAGTTGCAAAAGGTGTATTTTTGACGGATCATGGTCTACCCGTGCAACCGGAGACAGGTTTATTATGTTTTGGTTACTGACAGGGTTTGCAGACAAATCGTTTGTTCCCTTAAATCTGTGCACGACGCAGATGGTGGGTTTATATGTTACAGACCAAATGACTTGGGTGTTTTTTGTTCTAGGTCTGCGCTTTCTATTCAATTTTAGCTTTCTATTCAATTTTTAGCTTTGGAAGTTCCACGACTCTTCGAACCCGTCAAGTTTGATTTGTCTCAATCGGGCGATTCACCTCATCATGTGATGTCGTCTCAGTCCGCTGGCGAGGAGATAGCATCTGGGACTGACGTTCATGTAGGGCTTTTGGTATTTGATGAAGAGGAGGATGACGCACCTGAGAAGATTGAGAAAGGTAAGTGGAAACTTCATAATACGAAATAGCGAAATCGAGAGTCAGATAAAATATGAACAATTCTTCCTTGAACTAACCTTGAAACTAACAAGGCCAGTCATCAATACTGCTTGATACCTGCAATATATTTTAGTGCAAAGTTCCGTTGTTGTATGGAAATATAGTCAATACTGTATATTAATGTGTTTGTTTTTTTATTGCTTTTCGTAAATCTATTTGCATTTTTTCCACCCATTTTAAAGCAAATAGTAAAAAATTCTGCCACGCATTAATGCCTTTGTAATGTTTTAGTGGTAATAGATAATTGCTATGATTCGGGGCTTGAGGTGTAGAACTAGCTTTAAATCATTAATTTTTTGAATTGTCGAGCGAAAAACGCAGTGGAGATGTTATTTCGTATCTATTGCGTTCAGTTTGAAAATTACGTGTACATAATTTCTATCTTTTATTGTACAGGAAATAACGAAGCGACGTTACCAGAAGATGTTGTTTCTAGGTTGGTATGCGTCTTCATCTTTGACGTTTCAATCAAAATATAATTAAGAGTAGTTAATCAATCAGAACACTGAAAATAGAAGTTGGGTTTTGTAACAACGATCATTGTTCATTTTTAATTTCATCCCGTGATCTCATATGTTTTAGCATGCCTTCGACTTCCTTGGTAGGACCAACTATTGTCGAACCACCAACGTAAGTGTTATAAACAGACTCTCAATTGTTTAAGAAATATTTTGTTTATCAACAATCAATGTGTACGCAGTGATTGTTTTTTAATGCAGTTGTTTGTTCACCGAAGAATGTCTTTTGATTTACAAAATTTGTTTTTGCTAGACTAACATATTCTAAATTAGCGTACCTCCACCGTTTCGTACATTCCACCCGAAGAGGAAGATAGTGTTTCTATATTTAATGACCGGCTCGAATACTATGTGAAGTCTGGTGGTTGTTCAGGATCTGATTTAAACGCTCTTATTAAGAACACAAGTCTTTCAGACGACAATACTTTGTTAGCTGTCACATGCTGTATTTTTTTCAACATGGACTCACCCGGAAGGATTTCAAATTGTGATTTTAGGAGCAGAGTTTTAGCTTAATTTTCGTGAAATTGATATTCAAATTGACATTCAATCATGGTGCTGCCGGTATAATTATCTGTGATTTGACCATCTAAGTTATTTTGTATTTCACTCGTCTTCTACCGTTTTTCTCATAAAAATTTTTTCATCATTCGCCAACTTGGATCATTAATGTTTTTAGGCTAATGGAAATCCCGATGGAAAACACGAAAGAGGTATGTAACTGCATTTTCTTTCGAACACAAAAATCAAACATAAATCAGTTTTGAGAACATTTTAAAGTTGTCGCAATTTTTTTATACTAAAAGCAATAAATGATACATAAGATCATCCAGACGTTATCCTTGAGAAAAACTAGTTACAGAGTATTCCTCACTTTATAATTGAATTGAAGTCTGTGGTTTTACTCAAGGAAAGTTGCTGACGTTTTTCCCGTAAACTATTCTGCTGGATTATTAACTTTGTTCGAATTTATTTCAAGGCTACGTATGAATCATCGTCGTCGGAAACGGTCGTCAAGCCTTCGTCGCCACTTCAAGCCTCTGCCACTCCGACCACCACCTTCCCGGCTCCTCCACAACGAACATTTATGCCTTTGCGAGATCCAGAGCCCGTCGTGCTAACATCTCAAGCCACCGAAAAAGAAACATCTCACTACCAAGTCCCATCGTTGAATCTTAATAATTCTGCTGCGAAGGAAAATGCATCTGAAGACGCTGGCCTTGTATCTTCCACCACTAGTAGTACACAGCCAACTGTTGCTAAGGAATCGAGTGAAACGACTATCGGTGTTACAGTCTCTCCAGTCACCATTAGCAATAGCCCTACGATACAAACACATACGACTGTATCTACAATGACACCGCCAATGTCACCTCCTCAAACTGACCAACTTTTACTTTCAAGAGCGACGAATGTAAGTATTTTTAACCCGTTGGAAAGTTTTTATTCTAGATTGAGCGAGTGAAGTTGAACAGGTGTACTTTAAATGATTGCTACAGTATACAGTGTGAAAAATGCGAACTAGCCAAGAAAGTGATACACCTTTCGACATCTGTAAGCAGGGATCGTTCCAGATATTACATTTCAATCACACTAGGTTGACGCGGTCCAAAAATGCCCCTCCCCCTTTTACTCACAATGACCACATAATTTAGCTATTGTTTAGCGATAGCTGCAGAATTCATCAAAAACTATTTGTTTTCCTTTGTTTTTATTGTAACAGTTGACATAGTGTTCAGAGGCGCGTATTATGACTTAGTCCAGTATTGACTTAATCCAATGGTGCTACCGACACTTTACTTAGCTTTTGTTTAACAGTAAAATTAATGTTGATATTACCATTTTAACTTTCCTTCATGTAGTAATATGAAAGCAGCTAATAACTTATTGTGGTGTAATGTATTTTATTTCCGTACCCGTGCAGGCTATGTTAGGCACATATATTTTGAACACGTTGTTCATTGCCGAACTTTAGAAATTGAATTGTTCATCGTTATGTTGTTGATGCAGTTTGCTTCCAAGTGTGTTGTCCAAAGAATAGTAGATGTTTATTGCCGGCAGTCATGTTCCAAATTATTTTTCAAAATGAACCAACAAAGTACGATGAACTACGTGGAGTGTGAACCCGCCTTTCTTCGTATTTGGTTTATGCCAAGGCTTTGGAAGCTTTAAAAGTTGTGGGTGTTCCATCCTTACTATGTGATAACTCGCAAGAGTTAAACTTGTAATGAAACTGGTTGATCGGTTTTTCTATCAACTGCATCATATCAAAATGAAGAGGTTGCTTATTAATTTAAAAATTTGGTATACCTAAAACCTGACATTCAATACCGTCGTAAACATTGAAGCTAAAGGCTAAATTTGTGGATGTCTAAAAGCTAAAATTTTAGGTGTCCTGACAGCCACACACCCATAGCTTTCCAAGTTAATTCTTTTATCTAGTCGGGGAACATAAATTTACGTGTATTTTCTTCGTTCACTTTGTCCAGGTTTCTCCTCGTCTATTTTTAAACGACGTTTCAATGTCTCCCACGCAAGCTAGTACCAGCAATAAGTCAACCGTCGCCGCGAAATCTCAGTCAGATCGACGTCGTTCTCGTTCGCCTCGTCGGATCACTTCGACCAGATCATCGCCACCGTTGACACGGTCGGCTCAACGACGAAGGTGAAGTACATCAGTTGGGAGGGCTGTATGATACTTAAGCTAGCCACTCCTGCGACATCTCTATATTTTCCCTTTTGCCTCAGTAAAATCATGTTTTAAAAAAATCTCATTACTAAAAGCGACCGCGATTCATTTACTTCTATTCATCCTGATAAGATGGCAAAAGGCGATCTTTATCACTAGAGGCGGACACTTATTGGAGGGGGGGGGATCTTTATGAAATACTGGAGCATGCCCGTAGGTATATTTCTAAAATTTGATCTCTAGAAATTTAATTTAAGGATTCCTACGTACACATAATCCTACACACACAAGGTTTAATGCGTCTGCTAGTACGCGTACATCCTAGTTATGTTATGCAGGTGTGATTTTAAAGATTTGGTACAGAATTTTTAATTATTCAAAATTATGGGGGCTAATGTCAGCCACTGTTTATCATCTTCAGTAGAAGAGTGGCACATCAAGGTAATTTTAGTTGTTTTCAACAGGCAGGTAGCTAAACTAAATTATACTTTTTGAAAGTTCGATCGATATGTAGTTTAAACTAAACGACAAGCAATGTAGAAAATCTAAGTTAAAGACCAAAATTCTTCTCCTAACGTCTCCCATTTTATAAGTTTGTGACGAATGATCAACCCGTCAGAAATACACACACTACGTCAGGGCCATGTCACGTGTCTGCCTACGCAAACTGGCTGTTTACATTACCGTTAGGATGTCATAAGCGTGCGCTTGGTTTGGATAATTCTCAATGGTGAATACACCTATGTTTATAGGCTTGCTACGCCCCATCAGTCGCCGACAGATAGTCCCATATCGTTTGTCACTCCGGTGCGAAGAACGTCCCCTCGAAGAAAACTACCGGAGCAGAAAAAACCGGCGAAGTTTGCCTCACACAGCATGACATTGCGGGCACGTAGCTGTTCCAGTAAGTTAACAAGAAGTGCGAAGCTACCGAATACCACCTGAAGTCTTCTATCATTTTGTAAGTTTTTCTTTTAACATGTGGCACCGGCTTTTGAAATTTTAAGTTCTAGGTTTGACTGTACGTAATTGAATGTAGAATCTATTGTTTTACGTCATTTATTTTTCATGTAATTCTTCATCTGGATAACGAATGTTTACCAACATTTTTAAATGTGGTTTAAATGTCATTGTTGGGGGGGAGGGAGGCATGGGTACTCATGAATTCTGAATGACATCGATGCAAGGCAACTTTCAGGTTTCTCCCTCCAAGATCTGAAAAATTGTTATCTCCTATGAAATACTTCTGGGATTTGTCCCGCATTATCCATTGGCTAGTAAAATTTCCAACTACGTAAAAAGGTTGTTTGTATTTTCGTTACGGCAAAGAGATTTTTTAATCTCAAAAGCAATATTTTATTTCAGTGATTGCTCATTTCAAGCCTTATATTTTCCTTTTTAAGAAGTTTTTTAACCGTTTAAAAAAATTTGCTGCTATCTAATAGATAACGCTATCCTGGCTTCATGCAGCCGGCTCCCGGTACGTAGCAACTAGCTACGGGCTTACGATGGACAGTACATCGCAGTTTTATCTTCCAGATAGCTACATATCCACTGGGTTGGACATTTATCGATTGTATAATTTATCCAGTAGATAACCCATCAGCCTTTGATACAAACCGGCCCCCGGCGTCTTATATTGCAAATTGAAGTATTGATTATAAGTCGCAACAGCTGATTTTAAAATATTAAGTATTGCATTTTTACATACCATTTACAAGGTTTAAAATCACCACCTCCCCCCACCCAACCCAAACACTGTGTATATATATTTTGGATTCCCAATAAGATTCGCGATGGGTTGATTAATTGAACCCCTAGGTTAGAGGCTGCTTATATGATCCCGGTTAACCGGAATTCAGCGAGGCGTGAAGCTATTTTGAGGCGTTGAATGGAGTCGAAACTTCTAGCGTAAAAAATGGAACTTTGTTAAGCACCATAAGTAGAAGTAATTTTATGTATTTATACATATACTAATTCCTGCAGTAATTTTTAAATTGATACAAAATAGTCTTTGTGGTGTATGTTTATGAAGTGCTAAATGCTTGTAAAATGCTCAAGCAGATTTTATATAGTATTTATGGGCGTAATGGTGTATTCATTCACGCAAGTTTTATTACAGTATAAAAACATAGCAAAATATTGCGTCGTTTTAATTTGCCAAAATCATTTAACGTTTCGCTGAATCATGGCTAGTTTGGGTCATGTAAGCAGCCTCATTGTGTAGGTGAAATTTCAGCTCTAGTAGCTCAAACAAAGTTGAAGTCTCAACCCCGGGATGAACTCAGCCCTATGTCGAAATATTGTCATGTTATCTTGCCCTATCGTTATATAAAAAGGATTTATGATAAGGTTGAGTTCAACCCTCGGATAGAAAAACGTTCCATGCAATAAGCCTTAAGTTTACACAAATTGATCAAGTCCAACTCGCAAGTCCAAGGTTTTTAGTAAAATGTTCACCACAAATTTTGGCCGAAAACGGATATGCAACCATCGCCGACGTTTGATATTATTTTACTAACTTATCTCTTTCACAAATCATTTATTTACTGCAATGTACTGTTTGCAACAGCCTATTGACATCTTCCTTTCGAAAGATTTCGACGTTCTTCCTTTTGCTTCTTTGCACCGAGCGGCGCTGTTTTTCTTTCTGCTGCACCGAAATCGGCTTCCCATTTTCAATCCAACCAAGAGCATTGTGCATCGTAATCGAAAACCACACGAAACGCAAATGAAATGTGCTCAAAGCTTTTCTGGCCTCCTACACGCATTCGTCTGATGGTCAGCTATCATCTTTTTAATGCAAATCCATTTGTGCCATCTGGACCCCTGATTGTTTGTATGCGTGAAAAAGAGGTACATGAAACACAATTCAGTAAAAACAGGTAAAATTACGATGAGGAAGGCAGCACAGTCAGAGATAATTAATAGTTGCCGTTTGTTTCTGCCATTGAAGTAAATATGTCACCCTTTAGTTTTTTCGTGCAACGCGTATCTTATTACGCATGTGATGACTATAGTGGCTGCCAGTCAATTGCTTTTTTTGACCAGTAGGTATGGTGAAATGGCTAACGACAGCCTTTAATCTAATTAAATATACAGCAGCCAGTTGCACAGCGAAGTGGACTTTGACTGGAAGGCTACTTTATATAAACATGGCTGTACTTACATGCAGCAACTTTCACCCAGGTGAAATTCCACATTCTACCTTATTTTGTTGCAGTTGATGTTTTTTTGGGCAGTGCATGCAAACATAGTATGAGACTAGTTGAATTGCCTGGTTAAAATTTAAGCAGGACTGTTTCAGTTATATACAACCAAAACTGACATTTCGCAGACAACTCAAGAATGTTCAAACAGAAACACAATCAAAAGGCCATGCAATAGAAATTATAATCTGCTCACCTTGGTTGACGAATAATGTTATCTGGAAGCTTTTCATCAGTCTTGATTTTCATTTCATTGCTGAAAAGGAGGCCATGCAAAAAAATGTACTTTTCAATATCGATGAAATCAAAACTGTACACTAACAAATACGATAAGCGGAAACATTTTTTACAACCCTCAATATAATTACCATGTTTCGTCTTCACTGCCATCTGCGGCCTCCTCCCCGAGAATCCTTGCCCTTAGAGATGAAGAATAAACATGATCATTCATCTATGGATAATTTTATACATCATCACATGTTTAAACTAACAATGAAAAATGTTCTCCTTTTAAGTAAAAAAAAGTGGCAAAAAAATTTAAGAAAATTATCAAAAATTTGGGGCTAGTTGCATTTGCAAAGCCAGCCTGAACTTTTACTCCAACAATGAAATTTTTTTAGCGAAAATATTTGTTTCTTCAGAAAATCACTTCCATTCATTGTTATTCCAGTGATTGAACACAAAAATATTTCCTTTGTAATAAAAAAGTAAAACACAAGCATGCTTCCCTAGTGGCAAGCGCAGACTTCATGTTTTTAATTTTAAAATACTTGTGTATGATGAGAAAATTATGATTTTAAACTATAGCTTTCTTTAAACACACCGTGCATCTGCATATTCCTTTTCTCGTTGTGCTAAAGTCTTGTGGATTTTCTTGTTGCTACTTTCACCACTAGGTGAAGTGCTGTTGATAGCTGGGCTTTCTTTGGGATCTCTACGCAAAATACGCACCTGAAAAATAATATATAACCATCAGTTGCATCATTGATCAATTTCGATGTGGAGTTAGAAAGTTTCAATTCAGAATCAATAGGTGATCACCTGTAATTAACTGTTAGAATACATGACTACATGACCATATAGCAAGAAAAAATTGAAGTGTGTGCAAGAATCTGGGATTCACAAGCTAGACTCAGGTATCTATGTCAAAAAGCCATTGTCAGGGGTGCACATACCCCCCCCCTCCCAAAAAAAAATTCTAAAATGGTATTACCTACTGTAGATGATTAATACAACAGTATTAGAGGCTATGAAACTGTACAATAAGACTAAGTAAAAGTGCAACTTCTTATTTCAAAGGGAAGTACATATTTCCCAACCACCATTTGCAATTGAGTATTTTCTATGAAACATCCACTGACAAAAAAAAACACTTAAATTTTTTTTTGAAAAGGAAATTACACTTTGATTATGCAAGATTCACTCATCTGTATGCCTAAAAATCCACAAAATCCCACGTCCTTTGCAACTTAAGCTCGGATAATGATACACTCCCCCTTGAAAAATCTGCACCCCTCCTGTCTAATGAGCATTGATCCACCCCTGCATATTATTTTGGAAACCTCATTGTATAAGCACTGTACATATTTCAACTATATTTTTTCCAAATGAAATATGCAACTAAAACAACAGCCAGTGAGAATATGCACCTGCGGAATATATCTTGTTCTGTTTGAGTCATCATCAAGCAACACCCGAACACCAGGGTCAAACAATCTAAATAAATGTAGGATTTATATCATCATATCAATTTTATTAGGTAGTCTTTGATGTTCTAAATAGTCTATTTAACACATAAATGTATTCTTGTTAAAAGAAAGTAGGCTAGAATGCAGTTTAGCAGACACCAGTAGCCACTTTGCGGTGATCAGGAAGATTGTGGGCTCAAATTAGCAGGAACATGGCATTCAAAAACAAAACTTACGTGAAAACATAAAATCAAAGTTATAAAAATTAGCTTCACGGTTAGGATTAATGTCTGGACTATGGCTAAGGTGAAAGTCCAGCTTTCAAAATTTCAAATTTAATCCAAGCTATCAACTTAGTTGAACTCGCATGATTCTTTTTTATACACTTTCATGATTTTCTAAGCCAGCTGCACTTTTGAGTTGATCAGCAACATAAGGTGTCTGCTAAACTGTATTTGACCCATGAAATTATACATCTACGTAACACAAATGACGTAAGGAAAAACACCCACAAATGAACTGGCGAATGAATTGTTGTGACATGACATGATGCAAAAGAAATTGGTAAGTTTTTAATAAAAAAAAACAGAGAGCCTATGAATTGCAGCCATTGAGAAATGCCAAAATGAATGATAAATAGTCTTTAGTTAGATGTTAACCAAAACTTTTCACATGGCATGAATAAGATTTTATTGACAATCTTAAAAATTTCAAGAAGTTAGGTTACTTTTTGTCAATTTCATCTCGTAATCTCATATGTTCTTTTTCCCTTTCTTCCATTCGCCTTTCCAATTCCTAAAATGATGAGACATAAACATCAATATTTAATGCAAGCAATTTTTTTTCAATTCTGCTAGTCAACATTTGAATGATTTACTATGCATGAATAACGACTAATGCCTCAAGCTGAAGATTTTTTGACCATTGCTCAATAATTATGATTCATCACCAATCACCACAGACTAGATGTTCACAGCAATAGGCTATTAAGTCTGGCTACTCATACATTAAAATCAACGTTTGATCAAAATATACCATTGCATAGTTTATGCCAACACGTTAACACGTTCGTCAAAGTATATTTTCTAGGCCTAAATATAGTATAAAGCAAATTCCGAAAAAGCAAGACATCTTGAGATTGCAAAATATGCATCAAAACAAGACGAGAAGTGAACTGTAAATTTTCGACTTTATTTCAAAGTCATCCTCATACAGAATCAATTATTCTTTAAATTGTCGGCTGGTCATGGTTTTAGGCCTAAATAGTTCGTACAATGTGAAAGTTTGATGCATCGTCATACTTGACATACTCAACTGAATGCCGATGGGGTGAATATACGATTAATTATCAAGCAAACTGCCTAAAACGGTTATTCAAGATTAAGAATTTTGCGCAGATGTAACTTCTCCTTACCCCAGAGTCAGCCATATCTTCCCACGAGTCCCACACATCTTCGTCGTTTTCTTGCTCTGCCATTTTATCGCATGTTGAGTGCAAGACTGAATAACATCGCCGAGAGGTTGATCTCCGTAGTTGACGATCTCAGGGCCTGTTATATGGAGCCGAGTTACCCGGCTGAGCGAGTTACTCGCCTAATCGGGTAACTCGGCCCTTATATAAAATGTATGCATTTCCCGGTGAATCGTTTATATGACACATCCGAGTAACTCGCCTTGCCGGGAACTCGGTTTGTGTAAGCGAGTTACTAGGCTAGCCGGGATGAATTTTTCCATATAAACGCATTTGCCGGGTAACTCGACGAGGCGAGAAAATTGGCTGTGTTGGTACGCATGCGTACTAAGCCTTGTACTTGCAGCATTATTATTCAAAAACATAAACATATCATAATTTTCAATTTTATATTCACCCATTCCATTTTTGCTGCGAAACTGTGAGGCTTTTTAAAATCTCGCGCCTCTACTCGAAGTTAGCACTGCCAAACTTCATTTAAGACAAATGAACGGAAGTACTAGCCGAGTTACCTGGTGCCATATAAACAGATCACTTTGTCAAACCCGGTTGAGCGAGTAACTCGCTCAGCCGGGTAACTCGGCTCCATATAAACAGGCCCTCAGTGTTAAATGTACTTTAAATTCCATGTTCTTGTCAAGATATGAAAAATTGACAATGAACATCAAACAGAAATGTTTCTTACCATGTCAAAGTCGAATATATTGTACATCGTTAAACGTTGATAAAAGTAAACATTTTCTGACAAGTTGTCATGAAGCTCTCATAGGTCTCATTAACAAGAGTATAAGACTATGATTAGGGTGGTGTGTGATTCTGAACTTCACAGTGATGCACAAATGGTGATGCACAATGGTGATGCAGCGCACGTTTATGACGTATGACCAACTAAAACGGAAGAAGATTCCTTTCCTTACATTGATGCGGCAAAATAATGAAAAATACATGAAATACGACACCCATTAATCCTATTTGAAACTGAAATAAATGATAGTAATAATAGTATTAATCGTAAATTTAGTAATAGTAAAGTATGAACCATCGTACTAGTAGTTTGACAATTCCACGCTCCATTGCTGAGAATTTCCCATTACGTAATGTTGTTTACAAAGATAAATTCAAATAAACATACGCTGAAAAGTTGAAAACACTGTGTATGACAGTTGGGAGATAAACTCTATGTAAATACTTTAATCCATATAAGAGGCTAACATGAAGAAAAGAAAAATGAGCACTTCAAGCGAACATCCAAGCGTCTTGTTTCCCGAAGGAACCATCGAAGTAAGTCGCTTTATGTCGCCTGAAGATGCCAATCTAGCTGGAAACGTTCACGGCGGGACGATACTTCGCATGATGGAGGAGGCTGGTTGCATAATAGCGACCCGTCATTGTAACAAACACCGTCCCGAAGGCCAACCACCAGTTTGGGCAGCGTTGGCCCGGGTTGAACGGACAAACTTTGTCAAACCAATGCTTATAGGCGAGCTTGCCACTGTTCATGCTGATCTTACGTATAGTTCTCAACGTTCCTTGGAAGTTCGCGTGCTTGTGTTTGCAGAGAACCTTCTTGATGGTGTTCATAAATTATGTAATAATGCCAGTTTGTGGTATGTGCCAGTCCAGAACGAAGGTACCGTTTGTGATGTACCACAGTTAAAGTACAAGTCGAAAGAGGAGGAAGAAGCTGGAAGGCAACGATATGAAGCACAGCTAAAATCGAGAAAAGAAAAGAAGAGCTTCTTTCAAAGGTAAACTTTTATTTAATGAATCTTTTGTTGTTGGGATATAAATTTATAAAGGAAATGTTGAAGTTTTAACATGTCACACGATAATGAAGCATTTTTGTAAAATATTGAATTGAGTTAATTGAATTGAAATTTTTACACTTTGTGCCCACCATAAGTCTGCACATAAACACTACTCCAAAGTACTTAAGTGAAATTACAAAATAAACACAATGAAACCCTTGTGTTTGCATTAGCCTGTGCAAAACACATCTGAGCTCAACCAATCAAATCAATCAAAACAATCAATCAGTCAAAGAGAATTTACAAAAATCGACCATGAATACATTGTAGAGGAAAAATGAAAATGTTTTTCGCATTATTTTATTTTTTATAAAAGAAATAAAAGATGTTTTTTGTGCTTGCACTGACTTATGCAAACATCAGAGACTTTTGTGAGAACTCTCAAGCATGTGCAGCCTGAGACCGAAAGTCGAGAAGAAACTTGGTTTGGGCTTGCACTGATCTGCTCTCAAGTTCTTCCAAAGGTCTCCTCTGTTTGCATAAGCCTGTGCAAACACAGTAAACATCTTTATTTTTAAATATATGTATAAGGGGTTGAAAAGACAAGGCCAGCCAGGTATTATTTTCTGAAAAGTAAAATAAATTAGGTCATTTAAAATTGAAAATGTTTCACCACCCCTCCCCAAAAGAATCAAAAAATTCTATCTAAAAGAAGATTCTATCAAATTTGTATTTGATAATCTTTTAAGCAATTTGATTTAATGGTCAGACTGTTTCTCAAGATTCAAGACCATAGCCATTTGGAGAAAATATAGTCAGCATTCTTTTTTCTTTCTGATGATTATAACCCTCCAAATATGCTTGTAAATTTTGCCAACATCATAGTATCTATTTTCTATTTACCAATATGGGATTTACCATGAAATTTTTTTGAGGAAAATATGTGCAATTTCATCCCCATTTTGTGAACTTTTAAACCATCTTTGATGTGTTGATGTAAAATTTATGAAGAAACTCCATTTTCCCAAATGTACTTTTTAAAAAAATGGCAAACAAATGGAAAATAAATGAATATATTTTGAACAAATTACAGATACCGTTTGGGATAAAATATCCAATCCACAGCAATGCTGGTAACATCATCGAACACAGTGTTGAATACTCTGCATCCACATTAACTCATTCTGTCCAAGCATCAGACTGTAATATATTTAACTACTGTTACGGTGGTGTAACTATGAAATTGATGGATAATGTTGCTGGCATGGTTGCATTTCATCATGCATTGCAACATTGTTACTGCATCTATTGGTAAGTTATGTCAGCTTTTATGTATCTTTATTCATAACAATAGAGTATAAGATAGGTATTTATTGCATAATAATGTTTTTCAAGAATACTCATTGAGTTTGTCAAAGTTCATACATGAGGAACGGAAATAAGATACAATGTTACCACAATATAGAGAACATACAGTAGGCCACTCCATTGAATTTTTTCATGCCATGCATATCTTATTACACATGTGATTACCATATTGGCCACCAGTAAATCGCATTGTGTGACCAATAGGATTGATGATATAGCAGCCAGTAAACTAATTAAATATACAGCAACCAGTTGCACAGCAAAGTGGCCTTACTGTATATTCCTATACTCTGATGTGACATTATGACATTAATTAAATATCATAATGTATTCTAACAAAATAGTCAATATTCATTTTGCATAAATGAATGTATAATCCAACAATGGGATTATACATAATGATTCTTGTTTATATTTTAGATAATATACAATGCATTCCTTTAAACATTATTTTGAACAACTTGACTTCAGACAATTCTTTCATTTTACAATGTGTGGAAAGTTTTTCAGCATTATCACCAAATAAGCCAAATGAAAACGTAATATTTCGATTGCTTTGTTTGTCAAAATAAATCTTTATGTATGTACACCAATAATAAAATAACATCAAACATCTGCATAATTTATTAAACGTTATAAGTTTGACTGTATAAATGAAAACAATATGCCTAAAATAAGGATCTTCATTGGTCATACGGCATTTGTCACTAGTGAAAAACACCGTATCGTCTTTTCCCGCCAAAAGCAATCTCTTTGGATTGTATTTTTGAAACATCAATGGCTTCACGACACTATCACTTTCCTTAAAGTGCTACTGAAGTGAAATTTTGGGTATGGATTTTTTTTTATAATCAAATAGTTCAATCTTTCCTTTGGTATAATTTTATAAACAGCGAAGGACGAGATCATCAATAAATTCTTGCTCAAAGTTGCGTTATGCGTGCGAATTTTACTCCTCAAATATTATACGGTGTGACGTAATTAAAAGGACGGAAGTCGACGTATGAGCATGGATTTACTAGTATTTGTTTTACACGTATTCATGGCTGCCACTCGTAGGGGAAATCCCCTACAGTAGGGGGATTTAGTGGTTTGTAGGTGGTAGGGAAAACCTACGGGGAAAACTGTAAAATGTAGGGGATTGTAGGAGAAACGAAAATCGTTTAAAATGAGCCTCATTTTGCCCAAAATACTCTTTTCTTCCTGTGATTTCACCATTTAATAAGTGATTGTAACAGAATCTTTGTTTTGGCATAATTTGTGACCATATATGGCAATAGAAGATCAGCAACTTAGCATAAACTCAGTGTGTCATTTGCGCCACCTTCTTAGTTTTCGATAAAACTAAGAAGTTCTTAGTTTTCGATAAACCTTTTTTGTATGCATTTTTAAAACAGACAAAAATTTCAATGGTCCGACCGACGTAGGTATATAATTGGGGATATATGTTGTGCAGGTGAAAAGTAAGGGAAAACAAGGAAAATCACAGTAGGGGAAGGAGGGAAATAAAGTTGTCCCCCATAGTAGGGGGAAAAGTTGTCGTTTACGTTAAATGCATCATTTCAATCGTGCTATTACGAAATTATGAAAATAAAATTGTGGTAGTTGAAATGTGCATACACAGAGTGGCAGCACTGCACGTATTCACAATGAAATTTGAATTTTTCAAGTAGTAAAAGCGAATGCCGTTCGGATACTGAAAACTCTGATATAGCAAATGAAAATTTACTTTCGAATTCCGGCGTTGAGGATATAATAGTGGTTAAATCAATTGTTAATTCGTACGAAAATGAACCTCTAGCGAACGCAGTCTGAGAGAATTGTAGGTCGAAGAAGACGCAGATGGCTCAGAACCTCAAACATTAGAAGCGACGTTCTAAGGAACCGTTCAATTAGATAATTGGTGAGTTGGGTATATGTTATTAAAACTCTGTAAGAAATTGAAAATGTTATTTTGTCCGTATGTCGTGGTGTGTAAATACAATAACAAACAGTATATTTTATAGGTGTGCATGTAGCTTGTGTCTTACTCAACTGGTGACTGATGCTATTGAAGTTAGTAAATTTTGATTTCTAATTTTATTTTGTGAGGGAAGATCAAAATCTTGCTCGGATCTTTACCTACATGCATCTACACAGACAACGATTTAATGCTAATAGCATCGTAGGTTATTTTATCACTAAAAGTTTGCCTGCTAAGAATGTTGGTCATATAATTCTTGTGGACAATGACTTTTTGAATGTCCTTTCACGGGCTGTCCACACTTTTCACACAAGCCCATTTTCTTTGGATGTCAACGACCTGTTGAAGCAGTTTGTTTATAACTTTGTCCAAACATTTTTCTTGCATTATATCTTGTTGCTGATTTACCAAATAACAATTTATATGTTTTTTCTTTTAGATTGTACTGGCCATAAAGTTTATACATACATCTTAGCATGAACAACTTACATGAGGGAAACAATAGTGTTGAAGAAAGGTCTTTCCTATCCAACTGTCGTTTTTTGTCGTTTCATATTTAGTGATTTGCAACCGCTGCATTTGCGGTGAATGCAGAATCAGCGAAATGCATTGAACATAGTACTGAGTACTGCTGAGGAACAATTTTTGCCTATGTCTCCTTACCACTTTTGTCCATTTACTCAGCCTTTCCTTGTCTTTCATGGGGAAACGATGTACTGAGACACCTTCTGTGTGTTGACTGTTTTCACAACTTTTTCTGTTCGTCCAACCATCAACACAATATTAATTGTCTTCATCAACGCTTTTTTGCAGAATTTTGCCTACTCGCCATATTTTTACTTCCAGTGTGTCGTTATGTTACTAACTTTGTAAGAAAATTATCCTTGTATTATGTGCATTCTTATAATATTGCATGGGTTACAAAACCGCAGACTGCGTGAAGGAATGTCCCCGTTTCTTCGAGAATTACAAGTTTTCTCGAGAAGTTTATAAAACAATAATAAATGGAACTAAACGAATTGCAGTTAGTTTCAGATAACATATTGCGTGTGTATTAAACCACAGACTGCGCAAGGATGCGGCACCAAGTATATCGAGAATTATAAGTTTATTTTGGAAGTTTATAAAAATATAGCGGATTGTTTATGTTGTTTACTTATTCGTATTACTCTTTTTCACCAACTATACTAGATTTTTGGAGAAAGAACTCATAAAAAAAATGTAAAATTCATTTTGGAAATGTTCTGGCTCGTATATATTTTTATTAACTTAATAGCTTTAAAATTGAACTTACGTCCTTTGAGTGACGTCCGCGCTGAAATTGGAATTCACATCAAAACAAGCAAATATGCCATGTTTGAACGCAAATTTCGATGCGTTCCTGTCGACCAAATTCAGTGTACGATACCTCAAAATGATCAGTAAAATGCAGAGAAAACGTTTGTGTCAAAAAACGAAAGCGGAAAATTTCACTTCAGTAACACTTTAAGCGAATTCATTGAGCTTCAGTGTAATGATAACACCAAGAAAACATACTGGAGGATACTTAACTTCTTCAAGATTTTTTACTGTCGAAAAACGGAGTCACGATTCACGAAGCATCGAGGACTTATTCATCGAGAAAGTTAATAAAGTTAAATTCATCGAGAAAGTTAATTTTAAAAAAGTTAAATTCATCGAGAAAGTTAATTTTAAAAAAAAAGTTAAATTCATCGAGAAAGTTAATTTTTAAAAAAAAAGTTAAATTCATCGAGAAAGTTAATTTTAAAAAAAAAGTTAAATTCATCGAGAAAGTTAATTTTTAAAAAAAAAGTTAAATTCATCGAGAAAGTTAAGTTAATAGCGAATTAATTTTTCCTTCCGAATTAGGGAAAAGGCAACGAAGAAGACGAACGTAGATCCGTCGTAAGAAAATAAATACTTGCATTCTAGATTGTTAAGAAGGAAACAATGGCAAAAGTATTTTGTCGTCTTGAACAATTCAGTTGCATTTATAGTGTACTTTTTTGTGCAAATTACTGATAGGAATATTTTCTATAGCTCAGCGAATAATTTCACTGTAACCTACTATTCAGTACTCGTATTATAAAAAGTTTTCTTTGTGCACGGTTTCTTCTTCTGAATCCTCAAATTGAGCTTAAAAATCGCACGCACTCACGAAACAAGATGTAATCTATAAAACATCGAACATTTCCATTTTATGATTTATTTATAAATTGATTATATATTAATTGTGCATTTATTAACATCAGAAATGTAAACATTCAAATTGAGACATAGTTGTATGCCACTGTACAGTTCACTTTCAATTATTCTAATTGAACTCCTCCCCTCCCCCTAGTGATATAGCATTCCTGGCAAATTTTCCGCCCCCCCTGTAATGTTATGTTTTACAAATATTTTATAGTTTAAACGAAAATTATGCCTCCCCTTCCCTTTGACTGTCCCCTAGAAAGAAAATCCTGGCTACGCCACTGCTCCCCTCTTTTGAAAGCCCGCATGGCTTACCAGCGATATAAATCTAAGTAAGAAAGATCGTAATTCTTATATTTTATCAACTTAGACGCGATCGATTTTCACAAACCGGTTAAACTTGGCGAATTCATGACTATCACTGGAAGAATGACATTCGCGAGTGAAAGATCGATGGAAATAAAAGTTGTTGCTGATGTGGAAAATTTGCTCGAAGGTAGGAGTCAAGCATAATAATAGCTTGCATTATTGTGCTGTGATTCTTTATGGTTAGTAAGGAAACAAAATTACATTGCCAATGTTTTATTCAATGATTTTTCAATTTCTTTCAAACATAGTGTTTGGTCTCCACGTTCACTTGTTATTGTGTAAAGTATGGTCTCCATGTTTACTATACATCACCCATATTTGTTATTGTGTAAAGTATGGTCTCCATGTTTACTTTACATCACCCACATTTGTTATTTTGTAGTGTATGGTCATCATGTTCACTATACATCACCCACATTTGATATAGCATGAAGCATGGTCCCCATGCTGAATGTTAAACCTGCTATTTTTAGAAGCTCCTCTACTTATCCTCCTTGTTCATCAATCCATTTCGCAGGATTTTCTCCATATTATTGGACATGAAATCTTTTGTAACTGTAATCCTGCGTTTTTCTTTGTGTGTTCATTCCCTCTTATCCTGTATTTCTTTCTCAATCATGAATTTCTTTCAAATCAGGTCGGTGTTTTCGAGCGCTGAGTGCATTTTTCTATTTTGTGGCTTTGGACAAGTCTGGTCGGCCGGCTAAAGTGCCGGCTTTACTACCACAGACGGGCGAGGAACAACAGAGGTTCGAGGAAGGAAAATGTCGCTATAAGGCTAGAAAGCAAAGAGATTAATAAACTAAGTTGTTTTATCTGTTTTAACTAATGGAACTAACATAATTTTATCGTAAAGATGTACAAATTTCTTTTAATCTATTTTCCCCTATTTACAAATATATCGTTTGAAAATTGGGTGACAGTAAACATGTCATGTGCGTACGTTTTGAGAAGTTTTTGTTTTTCTCGGTGTTAATGTTTTTTCAACACGAAGTCAAACAAAAGATGAAATATGGATAAAAAGGCCGAGAAAAACAGCAAATGCTTTTTGTAGCATTTGTATTTTGAAAATCGTCATGTGTCATTTGCGCATTCACTCAATTTGAACAACATATTTGATTCGTAGAGTTTCAACTTTGTCTTTGGTAATTTTGTCGAAATGGTTTTTTTTCATGTATACTGTCATTTCTCTTTTCTGTTTATTTGCTGTTGGATTCATACTCTGAAGTTTTCAGGTCACTAATTCTAATGCTTTAGCCAGCAACTGGATTGCATGAACTGAGATATGTCAGGACACTTCTGGGCTCGGGGATGAAAAGTAAATGTGTTTGGGAGAGTGGTGGAGGACTTGTTCTGAACCAACTAAAACCAACGATGTTAGATTCAGCTACGTGCAAGTACAACGCAAAGAATATATATTGTCAGATATTCACGCATCGAACTCGCTATCCTGAAGGAGTTCGAGAACCACCAGCTTACCTCTGTGTGCAATTTCATCATACCGCACTTTCAAGGTAATTTGAATTTTCATGACTTTGAAAGAGTCGTCGGAACAGAAATCGTACAGAAATTTTTTGTCGTCTCATTATTCTGACGTCAATGGTTGTACAAAATGGACATCACAGAAACTTCAATAGCTTGAACATTAAAAGAGATATTCATAAACTGTTTTGCAAAGTCTACTGTTAATTTAAAAGTTATGCCGAATAGCAGATTCAAGCAAATTTCGCGTCGTAGGAACCCTAAATACATATATAACTCGATATTTAAACCCACGCTCGCTCTACCCTTAACACGTGTAATGAATTTTTCATAACAAGAAGTTATTTATATGTTTGTAAATAATGATCGTCCAGGTTAATAAAGTCCTGAGAAGGACTGTTTTTGTTGTTGTTGACTGACGTTTCGACAACCTTAGCGGTAGTCATGCCGAATAGCAGATTCAAGCAAATTTCGCGTCATAGGAACCCTAAATACATATATAACTCGATATTTAAACCCACGCTCGCTCTACCCTTAACACGTGTAATGAATTTTTCATAACAAGAAGTTATTTATATGTTTGTAAATGATGATCGTAGTTTATATGTTTGAAACTGTTTTGTTGTTGTTGACTGACGTTTCGACAACCTTAGCGGTAGATCATTAACCTGGACGATCATCATTTACAAACATATAACGATACTCCCGGGTTCAAACCATTTACTTTAAGAAGTTATTTGTTCGGTTTCTCAGTGGCAAAGAGTATAACCAAACTGAGATGATCTCTTGGTTTGAGTACGTGTCTGCATTAGCATAAAATTTAGAACTAAATCAATGTGCAGTGCAGCTGGAAGGTGTTTATTTGAACTGACAAATTTGAGGTGAACCTTGCAAAATGAAAAAACATATCAACGATAATGCGAAAGGTCAAGTTTTCATGACAGTGTGAGTTCTAGTCTACTTTTATGAAATTAAGTTTTTGTGTCGATAAATACTGAGTAGAACTAAAGTTATTTTACTTATCACACTAAGTCGTTGTCTATTTTTAAAGGTTGTGTTGCGCTGCGTGCCTGCGTCATTCCATATTCCACCCCTTTTTGCATATTTGCTCCGTTTAAATGACCGCGAAGCAAATGCAAATTGCCAGAAGGCTTGATAACGCGTCTCTGTAAACGTGATGAAGTCTTCAACTGATCACGTCAATAGCACATGTAGTTTTGGTTTCACTGTTGTACTAAAAAAGATTCCTTCAGAAGTCTTTTATACCAGCCAAATGTCAGTCATAATATTCAACAGCATTTTACTTGTTGCAACTGCGTTCCTTAATGGCCTTGCGATTGTAACGATCTTTAAATCGTCTTACTTGATGGGAAAGCCTTGCTACTTCATCATTTTGCTACAATCGACCGTCGACTTGATATGCAGCCTTCTGGCTATGCCATTATTTCTCGTTCACTTAGTACTTGCAATTTATGGAATGGTAAACTGCGTCGTTTTTGTCATGTCTATGTTTGCATTGTATTTTACATTAGGCGTATCTAATATCACTTTACTTGCTCTTACATGGGAACGATACGTTGCCATCTTGCATCCTTTGGAATATGGCAGCAAAGTCAGCAAAAGAAAGTTGATGGTAGGTTTCAGGAAATGTATAACTCTGCATAGAAAACATTTAATTTATCTTGCTTGCAAGCTGCCGTTTGAGGCAATCGTCTCCATTTTACATGAAATAACTCCATTGCGTCATTTTTGCTATAGGTTGGTGTATGTTTTGCTGGGGTCATCGACTGTTTCATGAAAACTTTATTTTTAACAAAATTTCAACATAGAGAAACAGTATTGTACAACCTGGTGAAGGTCATGATTATTTTTGTGTATGCTATATTTGCATACACTCGTATCTTCTTGGTAGTAAAAAAGTTGGCTCGGTCCAGTATAACACTATGTAGTCCTGTCGACAAAAGCAAGACGACTAGAAGGAAGCTGTTCATTCAGAAAGTCAAACATGCAAAATCATGTTTAGTGGTTGTCTCTTGTTTTTCCGTACTCTACACCATTCCATCGTTTGTACACTTCATCTTCATGAGACATGTGCAAGCAGGTGATCTCTTTCTTATTCGAACTTGGGCCCAAACTCTCGCGTTTACAAATTCCTTGTTGAACTCCATCATATTCTTTTGGAGTAAAACGATGTTAAGAGAAGAGGCATTAAAGCTTTTAAAAACGATAAATGAGAAAATAAAGTTATCTTCACTCTAATCTTGATCTTAATATATATAATCATTCATTTGATTAATATACATGTCTCGTGTGACAATTTGGAAAAGTTGTCCAAAACATTGAGTTTCATTTTAAAATCAACCTATTTACTATAGTAGTCTCAGACTTGGAGTATTGTGGACAAAAATCACCGTTTCTTGCATAGATCATGACCATCAGACTCGTATTAAACACTGTATTAAAGATATTTATTAAACAATGACTCAGTCTGAATTATCTCAACATGTAAGCTCACAGCTTCCTCGCACGTCATACTTTGCAGGTGGATATATGTATCTTCGTGTTCATTCATCAAGCAAGTTTGTTAAATCCTTTATTAATCTGGATTTTAATTATGATATGTGGAGTGACTAAGCGAAAATATTTTTGAAGGAAAACTCACCATGATGTCGAATGTAAGATAAAAGTGAAAATAGTTTTGAAAAAAAACTTACATTAAGGCAGAATGTAAGACAGAACCGCCAACGTAAAACCTACCTCGCTGAGTTAATCTTATATGCTTAAATAGAAAACATATCTAGAACTTACACTTAATATGCTACACTTAAAATGCTTATTGTCTAAAACTTTATGTATCAAGGAAAATATAATATCGTATATCTTTATTGCATCAATTTTCTTCTTTTACATAATTTTCTATCTAAATATATTGTATAATTTAAGTGATTATAATTTTAAAAGTGTTAATATTCTGAGTTTCATGCCGATGCAATCTTCAGGCAACAAATGAAAACTGCATCGGCACGAAACTGTTACTCAGTAGCAACATTCAGTTTAAAATTACAATCACCTTAACTTTAAACACTTCCGTATTGAGCAGCTTCATTCACATCAAACAACTTTATACGAAATTCATTTATAATTTACGTTATATTGTCACATACTTTCTTACATAAAATTTTTCTTTACGTCATAACTACATTACATCTGTCCTTAAACTATTTTGCTGTTGCATATTACTGTGTGTGCGTAGAGTTTCATCTTTTGCTTTCATCCTGTTTGCATATGGAATGGTGCTACAGTAAACCTCTTTTTATTGGACGACCAAATAATGCCATTGCTGAAGGTGAAACTATAAGATGTAGTCCAATCATTATGCTCAAAACAATGGATTTCCTCGTTCCAATTATTTCCCTTCATTATCTTTTTAAATGTCTTTCAATTTCCCCATTGCGTGATGACCAGTAAGGAGTAAGTTCTGTGATTGAATGCAAAGTATTTTAAAATTCTTGAAATTCTTTACTGTTGATTGGTGATCCATTATCTGAACATATCCATGGTTTTCCGTTATTTCAAATTATGAAAGTGTCTTATCTCAACATGGTACTATGGTCTTTGTCGAAGTCAACCTGTTAAAAGGAATTAAACCAGTTGTAATATTCATATCTTTGGACACGTGACACAAATGACGTCACATATGCCTGCTCTTCTCTTATGTGCTTTTCACAACAAATGTCAACAACACTTTATTCTTTTATATGAAAATTCAATGAACCATTGTGCATTAACTGATTATTTTAACGCGATGAAGATTACGCCAAGAATCTCGTCTGAATAAACAAGCGTCATAGAAAAACCTCTATATTTTTTGGGGGGGAGAAATGTTTGGTTTTGAAGACAACCAAATATCCATAAATTGCTTGTAAAGAAAAGACTTGGGCAGACATCTTAGGATGAAATGCATCCCACTTTCAAGAAATGATTTGTGTATGTTCGAAAACTCTGATCTACAAAATCAATTTGCCGTTGAGGACTCGCTGTGCAAATAATGGATTTCTAAAATATAATGGAATTATGATAATATTTTAAGGAAAAAAACTTGCGGGATGGCTATTGCTTGTCAAGCATCACGTTTATTCTTTACGTATTGAAATTATCACCTGGCAACGAATAAAAGCCCAATATGTTGCTTGCAATATAAATAATGGCGCATTTTTTTTGTTTCTATGTTCTTATTTATGCGACAGTTACATAAGCTTTTTTAAAAGCTTACGTCAATTAAAATTGGCCAGAATTTTTACTTCCATGATTATTTAGAATGATGTAGGAGACTTCACATTCATAACATATGAGCTAGACAAAATGAAAATCATCATGTGTTTTGTCCGACTAATTATTAAATAAGAACATAGATAAAAATTGAGGTGTTGTGTGCGTCGCGTCATGTTTTGCTAAACACGATTTAAAGTTATGTATATTAGTGTTTCAAAAATGAGGCAAATTGAATCTGTAATTATAAAGCGAGACAGCTGGTTTGAGTTTTCTCTTCGACTTGTAAAGTATGATTATGCTCCGGTTTTCAACGTAGGTGAAATAATAAATTTTTATCACTTCCTTCACCATTAACAACAAATTAAAATAAACCCATTACTTTGTCCATCCACAAATCATGTTGAGCTGTGTTTTCTGTGCGTATAAAGAACAAATAGTTTGGGAAATAAATGGCTATGCGCGTAGAGCGCTTGCCGAATTATAATTTATTAATTTTTTACAAATTAAAGAAGTTGAATTTAACGTAAGAATGCTTTCATATTATTTTCACAGAAAATGTTGAGGATAAAACGCCACAAGGACTGCTGGATAGGCAGAACTCACCCTGAGAACTCACCTCATTGAACTGAAAAACCCCAATGCGAAAACTGTGGCCTTTGTATATAGGAGCGTCGAGCTCACAATGTTTGAGTGCTTTTGGTAAGATGGCATCGAAATGTCTTCGTTGCACTGGGTGGCCATCCACTGTACGAAAAAAGGGGCCCTCTGAAAACCCTCGACGAGTAATATACTTCTCTAAGCTCTGCACATGGCACGTGTCTAATCGGTGATATAAGTTGATTTGAACAGACTGACAGTTATAAGAATGTTTGAAATCACGAAAAATGATCTTAAAACCAACCGTAGAGCCACCACTATTCAACAATCTCGTCACCGGCTAAGCTGAATGCATGAAGAGGAACGGTTGCTTACTGTTATTTCGCCAAAACGCAGGAATGCAAAAAAGGCTGTCGTGAACATGGTTTGAAATAAGGAAGTTATATAACCACTAGAACTAAAAATTGCACAGCCCCTTTAAGTCTGTAGAGGATTGGTAGAGTGGTATCCATTCGAGTTCCCTTTTTACTATAACCTTTCAACATTTCCTGCATCCAAAAAACTTAGATGGGATCCGACAGCCCAGCCAAGCGGTGACAGTGACCGGGTGAGGATACGTATCTGTGTGCTGTTGAAGCAGCATAATGATGTTGAAACATAAATGCAATAAAAGGGCGAGTCCATAAAAAGAATAAAAAAAAACCAGATTAGTAAATTGGTAACGGCAAATGGAATATGCGTGTCGAAAATTAACTGTAAAATTTCCATGCTCTTTTGTATATTGGGATTGACGATGGCTGCAAGCTTGAAGTAGCAAACAAGGTAGTTGTATCGACCAACAACTAGGTAAGAGCATTTCCGATACTACCGTTGGACATGGATGTCTGCCCGGCGGCGCGGCTTGCTTGAATGATTTGACCTGCAAACGGGACAAACAATCAGCTAAGACATTTGTTACCCCAAGAACATGCCTCGCCCAAAACAAAATGTTGTGTTGCATGCAGCCGACGCACAAAAACCATTACTCTTTTTTCCCTAGAAGTTTGTCTTTAAATAACTTCTACCAATGCAGCAATGTCCGTGAAGAAGATGATGCGTTGGTTTTCCATGAGGTTACTCCACAGAAGGCACTAAGGACAATAGGATAAAGTTCCAACATCGTAATATTGAAGCTTTTCCATCGCTCAGGCTACTCACCATAGCACCAATATGGCCGAAACATTGTCCCAAATCCTAAACTACCTGCTGCATCCGTATATAAGTTTAAGACATCGGAATCTTCCACTTATCATAAAGAAAAAAGGTCCTACCATTAAAATCGTCTAGAAAATTTTTCCAAACGTGCAAGTCTTCCTTAGCCTAAGCTCTTAGACGAATAAAATGTATAGCTGAACGAACACCTTTCGTGAGGTCAATGAGGCGACGAATGAAAGCTCGACCGGGAACAATAACAGAGCATGCAAAATTTAAAAGCCCAATCAAAGACTGCAAGTCTCGCAACTGTACTTTCTTCCATCTGTTGAAATGTTGAAACTAGGGAGTGGGATTTCGCTTATTCATCTTTGGGCAATCGAGCTTCCTTTCGTAATGTGTCTAATTTGATACCTGCAAAAGTAAGAACATTCTGTAGGCCCGCCGTTTTATCATGCGCTATTGGCACACCCAAGAAGTCACACAACGGCACAAATTTCTCAAGGCTAATGCGGCATTGGCTGAATGTACGAGCAGCGAACAAGGAATCATCCAATATATGGATAACATGTGGAATTTTGTAAGTGGCGTTGTGTAAACCATTCCAAAGCTATACTAGCAGATGCCCAATAGATTATAAACTTTCGGTCGAATAGGAATAATGCAAAAGACATTCTTAATATCTAATTTAGCAAGAAAACAACATGGTCCTATTTGCTGAACAAGAGCTATGGCATTATCAACTAGGGCATAGTTCACTGAAGTGAATTCTGGAGGGATATACTCGTTGACTGATGAGCCACCTGGGGGGATAAAAGATGATGTATCATCCTAACCTCGCCAGGGAATTTTCTAGGAACTAAGCCCATTGGCGAAACCCTAAAATTAATGAATGGAAGACTGTCAAATGGCTTCACCAATCGGCCTACTACTAATTCTTTAAAAAGTTTTGTTTAACAATATCCCGATTTTCGATAGCTGAAATCAATTTTTTTGCATAAAAGGAGGTATGAGGGCCGGAAAAATGAAGAGGAAAACCAATTTTGAAACCTTGATATAGAGCATGCACTGATTCTACATCATAACTATGTAGAATCGTGGCCAGAGATTCGCCAGGCGGAAAGCGAATTTTCAATATGAACATAATAGCCCAACATAAGACTTTTAAAAAAGCCATCGCAATAGTAAAATAAAGAAAGATTTATTAATAACGTTTCGTCTTTAACTTAAGACATCTTCAGATTATTTGAGATAAATTATATACATGAGGTTTTAAATACAAGCATATATTACAGGGTGTTAAATTACATGTGAGGGGAGTAATAAGTTTAGATGACGGAATTAAGTGAGAATGGCGGTATATTAAAGAAAGTGAAGGGGGATTGAGCTGACTTGGGTGTTAAGAGAGGGCTTAAGTTTGGATATAAGAAGGCTTTCATGAATCATAAGGTCATAATTGTAGGAGGAGGAAGAGAGAATTGAGAAGTCATTAAAATCGGCAGAGTGAGATGTATTTATTATATGGGAAAGAACTGCAGATGGTGGTGCACATAAGGAAGGTTTCCCTGTTAAGGGAGAGATTCTCAAGTGTTCCGATATTCTGGTGTGTAAATGACGCGTAATTTGTCCCAAATACGAAGCAGATCAGCATCGACACTTAAATGAGTATACAACACCAGATCTCAGGAGCTTGGGAACCCTAGCTTTAAAAGGAAAGAAAGAGGAGAGACGCCTGGAAGAACGAAAAACAAAGCAAACGTTGATATGAGGAAAGGCAGCATTGCAGAGTCGAGTGATTTGAGTGCGAATCTGAAGACAGTGTAGGCGAGTGAAAGGGAGACAGAAGTACATGATTTTCTTAGGAGCAGTGTGAATAGGATCTTTGGGTTCAAATGCATTGTTGAGGAAGCGGTGAACATGATTGTCAAATATGTATGAGGGGGAGTTGTTTAAGGTTTCGTCGAGTGCTTTTTGGTATGGTGCAATTGTTTGGTCAAATGATGCTTTGTCGGATGATAAGGATGATAGACGTTTGTTGATGGCGGCGGGTATGTTCTTCGTTATGATTGGTGGATGGTTGCTTTAGCTGTGGACGTATTGCAAAGAAGTGTTGGGTTTTGTGTAAGGTCGATATGAAGAACTGTTAAGATTGAAGGTGATGTCAAGAAAGTCGATGATTTTTTTGTTTGCTTCGATAGTTATGCGTAGTCCATTGTTGTTGAAGATGCAGAATATCTCCTTTTTGATGTTCTCTGTTTCTCGTGGTGTAGTGTTTGAAATGGTGAGTCCGTCCTCTCGATAAAGTCCTATGTCTTTTGTAATGTGTTGTAGTTGAGAAAGGAGGTAGCTTCTTACGAGTTCGCATGTCTCAGCACCGTCGAAGCTACCAGACATAGGACTTTGTCGAAGCTACCTACACATATTTACGCTCTGCTCTCGGGCATCGAGCACTGTTATTTCGGAGAATCATCAAATATAAACTTCATATATATATATATTACAAACTTATACAAAGTGTATTACAATGTGCCCTCCCGGCTATCACCATAATAAAATGGTGACTCCTAAATTTATAGGAGTCACCATAGTAAAATGGTGACTCCTACTATTACAAACTTATATATATATATATATATATATATATACAAAGTGTATATACAATGTGCCCTCTTGGCTATCACCATAGTAGCATGGTGACTCCTGCACTTGGGTGACTCCATCTAAATACATTTTTCTTTCTCGTTTATATCATTTTGAATTTTTTTTTAAAATTTTAATTTCACTTCGTAAACAAATACATCACAAAAATATTACGGATCAGATCGAGGGAAATTAAAAATATCGCTTCGCTTGCGGCATGCAGAAATAAAAAAAATTAAAAAAATATATGTAAAAGTTAAAGCACATCAATGGGAAATGAAATCACGAAAGAAGGATCGACGTATCAGTACCCTATTAATACTTTAACATGGTACAACTTTGCAATTTGGTTTGTTGTCAATGAAATAGAAATATATTTGTTGTGCTGAGGAGGCTATAAAAACGTACTCTGCAAATAGAACATATGTCTTACCTACTTAGAATGCGCGCTGTGCATTGTGGTCTTCGTAGCCACAACAACAACAACAACAACAACAACAACAACAACAACAACAACAACAACAACAACAACAACAACAACAACAACAACAACAACAACAACAACAACAACAGCATGGCTATTATGAACGCTGATGTTGAGCTGTTATTTGTCTTTATTCAGAGGTAACTCAAACAAATAAAATGCTAGTTCTTTTCAGAACTCTTGCACGGGTATTTAAGAGTTGGTTACATCTGAAATTGATGGCAAGGAAATTTCAGAACGTTGACGAAGGCAAGGAAACTTTGTAATTTTTAAGAGTTCTGAAACAAGAGTTCTGAAAAGAAATACGGCTTTTATTTGTTTGAGTTACCTCTGAATGACGACAAAGAACAGCTCCACATCAACATCCACAATTATTGTTCACCGTAGTAGCGTGACTACTAAGACCACAATGCACAACGTGCAGTCTGAATAAAAATTAATAAGGCATATGAACTATTAATGCAAAAAATGCTCTTATTCGGTTTCAGCTCGTTGTTTTCGAGTGCTAACTGTGGGTTTCTATTTCTTGGTTTGGACATGTCAGTTTGGCCGGCCAAAATACTGCAGCAGATGGATGAAGAACAACAGGTTTGAAGAAGGCAAATGTCGCTATGCTGCTGTAGACAGTTATATTATTAAACGAATTTAAATTTTCATTCAATTCAGCTTCTACATATGAATGTCTTTTTGCATGCTGTCATCTGTCTCTTAGAATATGCTAATTATATTGCTTTAGTGACTGCATTCTATAAACTGGAATACGTCATTGTGTGGACGCTATTTGAGCTCGGAATGAAAATTAGATGTGTTCCGAAGAATGGCTGAAGATTTGCTACGAACCAATCAAACTAACTGTTTTAATTACAGGTACGCTGAAATATTAAATGTAAACAATTTCAAGGTGTGTCTGATATTGACGTAACAAGCTGCTTTGCTGATTGAGTTCAAAAATTTTCTGCTTCCTTTAATGTGATTCTCCACCGTAACAAACTTGCAGGGTTTTTAAAATTTCCATTTCATTTTCTTTGCTTGCAGTAACTGTAATGAACTCGTTATATAATGTTAAATATGTTAAAAATCAATAAACTGCTGATTCAACATTGCGGACCTGTAATTTTGCCTTTCAAGTTCAAACTATAGAAGATTTCATTACAATTCGTTGATATTTCATGTTTATTTGCACAATGCATTAACAATATGTTTTAATTATTTACTGAAATAATTGAAAATTTACTTTACGAAAGCAAATTGATCTTTTTGTTAAAATTTTGAAATTGATGACCTTTACCGACTTTTGTAATTTCAGCTTTTTCGATAAAGCCGCAAAAGCTTGCCAGCAGCTTATAGCTTAGCCTTATAATTGCCGTTTACGCGTTGTTAAATATAGAGGCAGGATTAACGAGTCTTACTGATCTCATCGTCCAAGAACAAATTTTTTGCTTGTTCGCTAACCTTTTGACTTATCAAACCAACCTTTTGATTTTCAATTCTATTATGATGAAAATGAATTGAAAAATATGTCTCCAATCACACAGAAATACACTCCCGTAGACTCAAGCCAGCTGTTTGAGCTGTGTTGCAAAAATTGTATGAGTACATTATTAATAAGGTTTTTACATCGTAATAAGATAATATTGGATGTTTAAATATATTGCGAATTCCTGCTTAACACTTCAATGATCTTTTAAATGCAAAATATCCGTACTTTGGACGCTCAGTGACAAAAACTTCTTGTAAAATTTGTCGAATGTTAACATTACACATTACTACATTACACTGTGTAACTACGTTACACTGTGTAACATTACACATTACTACAAATGCTCATGTAATTGCTACTTCATTACAGCTGGAACATAGTGTTTGTTTGAACGAGGATAAGGTGAAATGTGAATTTCACAAACATAAGTCAATGATTATGAGAAACCTCATAAGTTCTTGGAATTGACTGTTTGTAGAATACTTTCATTAAGATCTGTTTGGCAAAGACAGGAAGTTATTTTACATATCACACGAAATGATTTCCCTTTATTTCTCTTTTCCGGACTCATTTCAAATCAATTATTCTGCTGCTCTGCATTCCAAATTCCGCGCACTTCCTTTAGCACATATTTGCTTCGTTTTAATGACTGTAGAGCAAATGCAAATTGCCAGAAAGCTAGATAACGCGTCACGATAAACGTGATGAACTCTTCAACTGATCATGTCGACAACATATGTAGCTTTGGTTTAACTGTTGTGCTGAAAAAGATGCCTTCAGAAAGATTTTATGTCAGCCAAATGTCTGTTATAATGTTCAACAGCGTTTTGCTTGTTGCTACTGTGTTCCTTAATGGCCTTGCGATTGTGACGATCTTTAAATCCTCTTACTTGATGGGAAAGCCGTGCTACTTCGTCGTTTTTCTGCAATCAATCGTCGACTTGATGTGTAGTCTTCTGGCTATGCCATTATTTCTCGTTCACCTTATAAATGTAATTCATGGAATGGTTGACTGTGTTGTCTACGTCATCACTATGTTTGCAACTTATTTTACGCTGGGCTTATCTAGTGTCAACTTACTTGCTCTCACATGGGAGCGATACGTTGCTCTCTTGCATCCTTTGCACTATGGCAGCATTGTCACCAGAAAGAAGTTGATGGTAGGTGGAAGGACTAGTATAACCCTGTATAGAAAAGTTTTAATTTGTCTCGACCGCAAGTTGCCGTTGGTGGGCATACATCTCTTCACGGGAAAAGCCTATTTGTTTCCGATTAGTTCGTCATCTTTAATCCCTAAAAATGAGGTGTTCATTCTTTTTACGTAACATACCTTCATAACTCTAAGACTTCAATTTTCCTTTAGGTTGGTGTATGTTTTGCTGGGGTCATCGACTGTTTCATGAAAACTTTATTTTTAACAAAATTTCACCATAGAGAAACAGTATTGTACAACCTGGTGAAGGTCATGATTGTTTCTGGGTACGCTATCTTTGCATACACTCATATCTTCTTGGTAGTAAAAAAGTTGGCTCGGTCCAGTATAACTTCATGTAGTCCTGTAGAGAAAAGCAAGACAACTAGAAGGAAGCTGTTCATTCAACAAATCAAACATGCAAAATCATGTGTAGTGGTTGTAGCTTGTTTTTTTTTTCTGAGCCCAATTCCATCATTTGTATACTTGTTCTTTAAAGGACGCGTGCAAAGAAATGATCTTTCGCTTATTCGAATTTGGCTCCAAACTCTCGCATTTTTAAATTCCTTGATGAACTCCATCTTATTCTTTTGGAGTAAAAAGATGTTGAGAGAGGAAGCATTCAAGCTGTTAAAAGCAATAAATGAGAAATTGAGGTTATCGTCATCCTAATCTTCATCCTTATCTCATTTCTAATCTTGATCCTAATCTGTAATTATTCATAGGACTAATGTAAATGGCTCATAAGACAATTTAGAAAAGTTGTAGAAAACATCAGGTGAATGTAAGGCTTAATGAATGTAAGCACTCAAGCTTATGAAAACGATAAGAAGGAAGCTGTAGTCAACTTGATCCTAATCTTGATCCAAATATTGTTCTTAATGTTGATGTCAATCTATATCCATTCATAAGAAAAATATACACATGACTTACATTTATAACAGAAAAGTTAAAGAAAACGGAATACTTGAAACTACATAATTAAGCATTATTTGTAAGTCATTAAATATTTACAAAAGCTGGTAGGGCTTTTTTTAAGGTTTCTAGTCGGCGTTTATCTTAATTCTTATTACAAAAAAAACAGTTCAAATAATCTTATATATATTTTACTAAAGCGAATTTCCAAAATTTCTGCCACTCGAGCAAAATCAATTGAAACATGGAGAGACAAGATATACCGATATATCCTGCTCATTTGTACTTTGTATTACAGAGCTTTGACAAAAAGTGCGTGCTATAAAAATGTAATTTGAGTATCTAACGAACTAGTTGCACAAATCTATTTAGCTACGGAAGAGGTCGCTGAGCGTTACTTCTTCTACAAAAATCACCGTTTCCATGGGCACGCATTCGTGTGAAGAGAAATGCGATGCTGTCCATTTTTTGCGAAATATGTCTAAAAAATCGGTCCAGAAACTGATAAAAAACGAAAAAGGTCGATCTGGTTGAAATCGTGATTTTTTCTTTTAAGCAAGACGACCAGAACACTGTTTGATTATAATTACCGATTATAATAGTTACCATCAAATAGTAAAACGAAATTCACGGCATAATATGTAAGAGCGTCATGTCTCAATAACATTTCATTAATGACGCTCGCGCGTGAAATGATCAAAAAAAAATTTTGAGTGGTTCAACCCTTACAAAAATTTCACATCTGACTTTATATATGAAATGATATGTAAAACTTATGTGAAATTGAAACATTTCATATATGAAATGTCTATTTAATATATGAAATTCCAATTTCATATGTGAAATCAAATGTGAAATTTTCGTAAGGGAAGGACTTCGTGGCAGTAACGCATTATTTATCTAATCAAATGCCGTTATAGGAAAACCCCGAATTTTATAGTCTGGTTTACCTTCAATGTTCTAGTTAAAGATAAGACAAGATTTTGTCCCAAAAGGTAAAAACCCCTTAGTTTTTTGCAAAGTGCTGCCCAGACTGTTTAAATATATAGAACTTTTTTTCACTTTTCTTTTGTTTAGTATTAGTTAAAGAAGAGCTATCAAAATCACTCATTGTATAATAAGTAAGTTTATTGAGCAATGACACTTTCTGAAACTTCTTGACGTGTGCGCCCACGGCTCTTTCGTACGTCATAGTTGGAGGAGAACGACATTATAGAAGATTTTATACTAAACAGGTGGACATTAAGGAAAACCGATATCGATAATACTAATCATTAATATCGATGAATCGTATTATTGATATCAATAAATCCAATCACTGATATGAGTAAATAGGATCACTGATAAAAAATTATTGAATGAGATTAAGCATGATAGTAAGAATTATTCAGACAGGGGTGAATGCTATCTGTCGCAGCGAAGCTGAGGCGGATAACATAGACCAAGGTCTAAATAATACTTGATATCATGCGAAAGCCGAATTCAATAATTGTTTTATCATTCACCTCAACTAACTGAAATTGTATTAAAGCTGATCAATGTATGACATTTTTAAAACTTCGCTAATTTGTCCTCGTCAAAAGGTTTTTTAAGATTTCCTCGTTTAAATATGCTGTAAAATATGCCTAAAACCAGCCTTGCCGCTTTTTTAATGCTTTCCGCATCCTTTTTGTTCAAAAGGTTTTCCATATCGTTTTTGAAAACTGTGGCAAACATATTATTCGATTTTGTTTTCAAAACGAGCTTTTAGTGGCGTCAATAATTGTAGAATGTGATCACTGACATTGGCATTTATGGTTTCATGCAATAGTAAAGTCTTCCTTTTTTCCTGCTACCTATGATGTGGGGTCGGCTCGTCGAAGATTCTATGGGTGGCATGCTTCTTGATATCAAAAACACAATCGATGTTTCTTTCAGTTTAGTGATTCTTTCTTGTCTTAAACTATAATTACAGACATTGCTCTAAATTGGGGATAGCTCCAAGGCTTTGTCTCTAGATATCCTATCGCCATATCTGCTAAATTTATGATATTTAACGTCCTTTAGGAAAACGCTTTGATGGGGTAAGCTCGTATTTAAAAAATAAAAATGTTTATTGTGTTTGCGTATGTAATTGCAAACCGAAGAGACCTTCGGGAGAAGTTGAGAGCAGATAAGTTAAAGACCAAAACCGAAAGCCGAGGGTTATTATTTCTTTTATAATATAAAAACAATGAGAAACAGACAAATTTTAAACATTAAAAACAAATTGATTTGAAAATTTTCTTTGATTGATTGATTGGTTGATTGGTTGAGCTCAGATGTGTTTTGCACAGGCTAACGCAAACACGGCTAAAGGCCAGTCAGCGAACGCGTTTTATTGTTGCTAATTTATAAGTCGAAACACTGGACTTAGTAAACGTTCTCTGTCAGCGGTCAGTGAAGCAGTTTCACTATCCATTATTGTTAATTTATCATTCCGTTTTATCAAAACCCCGGTCAATTTCTTTTATCTCTTTCGATCATTTATTCCAGTCATGATCTTTTATTGGAATTATCTTATATTTGTAATTGTATGTTATCTGTTTGGGTTGTTTAACCAAAACTTACAGGAATGGTAATACTCTGCTTACGGAATCTACTTCTCTTTTTGATACATGTCGTTTCGAATTTCTTGTCACCCACGATCTATCGTGCGCTGATGATTTACATTTTTACAGCGAAGTATATTTTAATACGCTCATGACTGAAGACATCTTTCGTTATAAGCAATCCATCTGTCATTATATGCGGCTTATTCCTCATATGCACTGATCTTTTTATTATATGTGGTCCATTTGTCATTATATGTAATGCACTTTTCATTATACCTTAACTTATTATGTGGTAATTTCGTTATGTGGTTATTTCATTGTGGCCCTTTTATTTCTTCGTTATGTGATGTCTAACATGAAGTACCTTTCGACTAACTGAAACACAGGCTCAAATTGAACCATTTGTAATTTGTAACAAACGATTTGTTCGACACGTTGAATAGTCAAATAGTCAATAGGCAATAGTATTTGCGTTAATAGCCCTGCTCTTAACCAATTAGAATTGAGAAATTTTTTCATGTATATACTAATAATGAAATACATGATATAATACTATGTATAATACGCAATACGGAATAGGAATAAAAATGGCGTCAATCGGTGACATGCAAAGAGTTTTGGAAAAGCTTGGATTTAGCTCTCATACTCAACGTTTTATAGAAGAACGCGTTACTCCAGATATTGTTTGCGGACTTTCATTGCACGATTTTAGGCAACTCAGCTTATCTAATCCTAGTGAAATAATTTCTTTGAGAATCGAGTGCACGAAGTATGGAAATGCACAGCCATCAAAAAGAAGTCCAAATGAGACTACTCATGCTATGTTTGAAATAACGAGGGAGCTATTGGAGAGTTTTTTAGAAGAAGATTTCTTGATAACGAAATTGCAACAATGTTATCTGTGTCTGAAAGCACAATATATCGTCGAATGAGAGTTTACGGTCTTAGCAAATTCAGCTTTACTGACATTTCTGATAATGAATTGGAAGTTCATGTTTGTGAAATGGCCAGAGAATTCCCGTAATGTGGCGAAAGTATGTTTAAACAGTTGCTTAAAGGGAAAGGGATAAGAGTTCAACGACATCGATTCGCGATGCCATTCATCGAGTTGACAGCCAGGGTGTAGCAAATAGAAAGAAGGGTAAACTTCATCGTCGAATTTACAACGTTAAGGGACCGAACCAGCTATGGCACATCGATACAAATCACAAGCTTATAAAGTGGAATTTTATTATTATTGGAGGAATAGATGGCTTTAGTAAGTTACTTGTCATGTTGGTTTGTACTAACAACAACAAAGCAGAGACATTGCTTATGCATTTCATAGATGCAGTTACAGAGTATGGCTTGCCAAGTCGAGTAAGAACAAACAAAGGATTGGAAAATGCTCAAATTTCAGAATATATGTTGGAGAAAAGAGGAATCAATCGTGGCAGCATCTTGACTGGATGTAGCACACACAATTAAAGGATTGAAAGATTGTGGCGGGATATTTACCAAGGTGTTCTGACCTACTATCTCAGTTTGTTTTATTTTCTTGAAGATGAAGGATTGCTAGACCCATTTAATGATATTCATATTGCTGCTCTTCATCATACATATATGCATGAGATCAACAATAAACTTATTATGTGGCAGAAGGGTTGGTCAAATCACAGCATGAGATGGATTGCTGGACAAGCGCAGAATCTCATTGCAATCGATATCTCCAGTGAAGACCTGAGAGAGTATGGTGTGGAAGGTCATGTTCGTGATGAAATTGCTGAAGAACACGAAGGCAGACCCATCTTTACTGCACCAATTCTTCAACTGAGTGAAAATTGTCTCGCCGAACTATCCTCACTGGAAAAAAATCATAACAACTTTAGAATTGAAGTATATGCTTCCACAGTACAGATCATTGAAAGGCACACAGAAGTGTTTCGTTATGACAGTCTTGAAAATAACCAGCTGTGAAAAAATTTTGCAAACAGATGAAAAGCAAACATCATCGAAATTTCCATAAAACTTATACAAGATGGAGTTGAACTAATTCCACATAAAGCCATTAATAAAATAATGGCATAGTGCATTCAAAAGACATTCTAATTTATATTATTTATCAAACATAACTTTAACATATCTTAAAATTACATATTGCTCTATGATGAAATTTTTTAAAACATTTTGAGAAATATTTCTTAAAACTTTTCAGTTTAAATGTTACCAAAAGGGTTACAAAAAAAAGCCTCATCGTAAAGGGAAAACAAGACTTCCTCTACTGGCATCTGTAATTCTGACGTTTAGGACGCATAATACAATGTCATGCAATTAATGCATGTGTTGGCTGTTGGTAAGAATGATGTCGTTACTTCAGCAAAACGAATTGATGGACTTATTTTGAATCCTAATAATGGCTCTTCATCAATTGATGTGGCAAAATAGAGAACCCACCCAAGAGTTCTGCTTCTTCTTCCAGCTGCATTTAAATAAATGAAAGTATTAAGAGTAATCATTGAATTCAAATTCTGAAAAAATATAAAAACAGTCCTACAACCAGGCAAACCCA